AGAACCGTCACACCATCCGTCTCTGAATCTGGCTACTCTAATACCTCCTACAGGTAGAATCATCCCACCATCTGTCTCTGAATCCAGCTACTTTAATACCTCCTGCAGGTAGAACTGTCCCACCATCTGTCTCTGAATCCAGCTACTCTAACACCTCCTATAGGTAGAACCGTCCCACCATCCATCTCTGAATCCAACGACTCTAATACCTCCTACAGGTAGAACCGTCACACCATCCGTCTCTGAATCTGGCTACTCTAATACCTCCTACAGGTAGAATCATCCCACCATCTGTCTCTGAATCCAGCTACTTAATACCTCCTGCAGATAGAACTGTCCCACCATCTGTCTCTGAATCCAGCTACTCTAACACCTCCTATAGGTAGAACCGTCCCACCATCCATCTCTGAATCCAACGACTCTAATACCTCCTACAGGTAGAACCGTCACACCATCCGTCTCTGAATCTGGCTACTCTAATACCTCCTACAGGTAGAATCATCCCACCATCTGTCTCTGAATCCAGCTACTTTAACACCTCCTGCAGGTAGAACTGTCCCACCATCTGTCTCTGAATCCAGCTACTCTAACACCTTCTATAGGTAGAACCGTCCCACCATCCATCTCTGAATCCAATGACTCTAATACCTCCTACAGGTAGACCCGTCACACCATCCGTCTCTGAATCTGGCTACTCTAATACCTCCTATGGGTAGAACCGTCCTACCCTCCATCTCTGAATCTGGCTACTCTAATACCTCCTACGGGTAGAACCCCATCCCGCCATCCGTCTCTGAATCCGGCTACTCTAATACCTCCTATGGGTAGAACCGTCCCACCATCCATCTCTGAATCTGGGTACGCTAATACTTCCTACGGGTAGAACCGTCCCACCATCCGTCTCTGAATCTGGGTATGCTAATACCTCCTATGGGTAGAACCGTCCCACCATCCGTCGCTGACTCCGGCTACTCTAATACCTCCTACAGGTAGAACCGTCCCACCATCCGTCCCTGAATCCAGATACTCTAATACCTCCTACGGGTAGAACCATCCCACCATCCATCCCTGAATCGGCTACTCTAATACCTCCTACAGGGAGGTATTAGAACCTTCCTGCCGGGCGCAGTGGCTCAAGCCTGTAATCCCAGCACTTTGGGAGGCCGAGACGGGCGGATCACGAGGTCAGGAGATCGAGACCATCTTGGCTAACACGGTGAAACCCCGTCTCTACTAAAAAAAAAATACAAAAAAAAACTAGCCGGGCGAGGTGGCGGGCGCCTGTAGTCCCGGCTACTCGGGAGGCTGAGGCAGGAGAATGGCGGGAACCTGGGAGGCAGAGCTTGCAGTGAGCTGAGATCCGGCCACAGCACTCCAGCCTGGGTGACAGAGCGAGACTCTGTCTCAAAAAAAAAAAAAAAAAAAAAAAAAAAAAAAAAAAAAAAAAGAACCTTCCTACCATCCGTCTGAATCCGGCTACTCTAATGCCTCCTGCGGGTAGAACCATCCCACCATCCGTCTCTGAATCCGGCTACTCTACTTCCTACAGGTAGAACCGTCCTACCATCCATCTCTGAATCTGGCTACTCTAATACCTCCTACAGGTAGAATCATCCCACCATCTGTCTCTGACTCCAGCTACTCTAATACCTCCTGCAGGTAGAACTGTCACACCATCTGTCTCTGAATCCAGCTACTCTAATACCTCCTACAGGTAGAACCGTCACACCATCCGTCTCTGAATCTGGCTACTCTAATACCTCCTACAGGTAGAATCATCCCACCATCTGTCTCTGAATCCAGCTACTCTAATACCTCCTGCAGGTAGAACCATCCTACCCTCCGTCTCTGAATCCGGTTACTCTAATACCTCCTACGGGTAGAACCGTCCCACCATCCATCTCTGAATCCAGCTACTCTAATACCTCCTATGGGTAGAACCATCCCACGATCTGTCTCTGAATCCGGCTACTCTAACACCTCCTACAGGTAGAACCGTCCTACCGTCCATCTCTGAATCTGGCTACTCTAATACCTCCTACGGGTAGAACCGTCCCACCATCCATCTCTGAATCCGGGTACGCTAATACCTCCTACGGGTAGAATCGTCCCACCATCCATCTCTGAATCCAGCTACTCTAATACCTCCTACAGGTAGAACCGTCCTACCATCTGTCCCTCTGAATCCGGCTACTCTAATACCTCCTACAGGTAGAATCATCCCACCATCCGTCTCTGAATTCAGCTACTCTAATACCTCCTGTGGGTAGAACTGTCCCACCATCTGTCCCTGAATCTGGCTACTCTAATACCTCCTGCGGGTAGAACTGTCCTACCCTCCGTCTCTGAATTCCTGGGGCACTCTGGAAAACCTCTCCTGACCATCCTGGCTAGCTTCGGGCCCCACTCCTGACGGAGGAGCAGAGGGCGGCTGGTGTGGGCCCCTCAGAACTGGAGCTGTGGGAGGACCCGGAGCTCGCCATGAACACCCACCGTCCCTGGTGACCCGGTTTTGGCTCTGGGTCTTAGTGGGCTTCCCAGGGCATGTTAACTCGGACTGGGAGGGCACACTGGCTTCCAAGAGGTTCCGACGCCTAGGAGGAGACCATGGCTGGAGCTGGGGGCCCGCTGCCGGACAGGGTGGGGGCAGGATGAGTGCTGGAGGGAGGGTGCTCTGGGTGCAGGGCTGAGTCCTAATTAACAAACACACCTGGGCACGGGACGGCTATAGAAAGAAAGGCAGGAACAAGCACGGTGAGCATGTGCAGACGCAGGAGCCCAGCGCTGCTGCCTGTGTGTTCTCTGCCGTGGCTGTGCCATTTCACCTCCCCCCCAGCACGGGCGCCCCTGAGTCTTGGGCAGGCGTTTCCGTTCCCCCGTCCCTCTCCGGAGCAGCAGGCAGTGGCCTGTTGAGTTCTGTGATTCCTGCGCTGGGTCTGGGCTTCAGGCTCCTGCTGGACTCAGTCTGTGGGAGGTCTTGGGGCACGTGCCTGTTTGGTGAATGAATGAATGAATGAATGAATGAGTGAATGGGAGAATTCGTGCCATCACTTGCTGCAATGCCTCTGGGCCTGTTTTCGGGCCTGCCATAATCGGGGGCAGAGCCAATTCGGAGAATTTAGGTCACAATTCTGATTCCGCCTGTCCTTGGGACTCCAGGTGCTGGCTGACCCTGCACAGTAGGGGGCGCTGGCGTCCAGGTGGCTGCTGTGGCCCAGCACAGGGCAGGCGAGGAGCAGGCCGGGGGACTGGACAGCCCAAGGCCGCCGGGCCAGGGTGGAGTTCAGGCTGCAGGGACTGAAGCCACAGAGCAGTCCCTCCTGCTCCAGCCCTGCAGGAGCTCCCACCCAGGAGCCAGGAGCCAGGCCTGGGGAGCCTGGGATCTGTGTGCCTGTCTAGCTTTGCCCGCCTTGCCAACGGATGGGCACACACAGAGGGATGAGGACTAACGCACACGCCTCTGCCATGCGTCCAGAGCTGTGGCTGTGGCCTCCCTGTGGGGAAGAGCCAGGTCATCTCAACTTAGCTGTGGGTTTAGCCGAGCAGTTCCCGCCCAGGGTGCAGGTCAGGTGGGCCTTTCAGGGCCTCTGCTGCCAGGTGGAGTGGGTGCCCATGGGGAGGAGTGGGTGCCCATGGGGAGGAGTGGGTGCCCATGGGGTCCTCCTCTGGGTGAGCCCTGCAACCAGGTAGGCATCGTAGGCTTGGTCACCAGCTGGAGGGGGCCGTGGGGTCCGTCCCTGGAGGGGGTGTGGGGTCCGTCCCTGGAGGGGGTGTGGGGTCCGTCCCTGCAGGGGGCCGTGGGGTCCATCCCTGGAGGGGGCCGTGGGATCCGTCCCTGGAGGGGGTGTGGGGTCCGTCCCTGGAGGGGCCGTGGGATCCGTCCCTGGAGGGGGTGTGGGGTCTGTCCCTGGAGGGGGCCGTGGGGTCCGTCCCTGTAGGGGCCGTGGGATCCGTCCCTGGAGGGGGTGTGGGGTCCGTCCCTGCAGGGGGCCGTGGGATCCGTCCCTGGAGGGGGTGTGGGGTCCGTCCCTGGAGGGGCCGTGGGGTCCGTCCCTAGTGAGGCCCCTGCAGGCCCAGCTCATGGTGGAGCTCCGCACTCACTCTCTGGCTGGCCCTAGACAGGGGACTCCTGAGCTCCCCTGGAGACCCCTTGTTCAGGTGGTCCCCCCACCCTGTTTCCCATCACCATGTTGACCATGGCCCCCTCTAGCCCCTCCCAGACCCTCACATGTGCCCCTGTCCCCGTGTCCTCTTCAGACTGGAGCACTCGGGGGCTCCTGCAAATGTGCCCCCTTTGTGAGAGAACCCGCAGGTGTGGAGAAGCACCCAGCAGCCCCCAAGGAACTCAGTGTCACAGCAGGAAGGCGGCAGCGTGGGCGGGTGGACACCTGCGCCCTGTGTGGGGGCATAAATCACCCTACAAGGCGCTCGTCACCAGGTGGGATGTCGGCCTCGCCACAGAGCTCCCCAGCTGAGGGCCTCAGCGAGCGTGGGGGGCAGAAGAGCTTGTCCAGAGGCCAGAGATGGGCAGAGGAAGATGTGGGCAGGGAGTGGGGGCAGGGAGACAGACAAGCAGACGAGGGGCCAGGCCAACAACAGGAGGTACCCAAGTGGACACGTGGTGGCCGGCGATCCTGCCCAGGCGAGCTGATGGACCGCAGGTGCTCCAGGAGCAGGCCCAGGCCCCAGCATCTGTCTGGGTGGCTGCAGGCCTCAGACAGGAGGGAGAGCTCGGCACCCCCAGAGAGAGCCCAGGGACCACAGTGGCCCCTCCTCTGGCCAGAGCCCTAGGACCCGGCTGCCCCTGCTCCTCACCCACTGTGGCCCCCAGCCCCACTGTTCCACAACACCCCAGCTCTTTCGTGCCCTGAGGAGAGGGACCACCCGTCCGCACACCCGGTCCACAGCACCGCACCCGACCCAGCCCCAGCATCGGCCAGAAGTCCCCGGCCCTCAGACCGGCCACCCAGAGACAGTGGGAGTGAGGAGGCCACACACTGTCCAGGTTGAATCACTGCGTTTTAATGAGTGCACAGGTCCACCTGGCGTCCGAACTCGTCCCCGTGGCAGCAGGGATCCCCAGAACCTTCCACCGCCCTCCTGGCCGCAGGACCCCACACCCGACGTCCCCCACAAACCCGCACTGGCGCATTCTTGTGGCTCTGGCATCAACCTGTCCGTGTAAGTTAATATCTCGGCTAATCTGTTAGAAAACTAGAGTTCATTCCCTGGGCGTCTATCCCTAGAAAACGGACGGTGCACAAAGTTGAGATTGAAGTGTGCGGGGTAACACATCCACCAAAAAAAGGCCTGGTCACTATGGCACAAGGACACATACAAAATGGTCAGAAGTGTACGTCGGTACTGAAGGCATTATGAAATATTCTTTGGAGCATGAACAAAAGTGCAGACAGCCAGAGGCAATGGCGCAAATGGGGAAGCTGCAGCCACCGGCACGGCCAGAGGATGGCAGACTGCAATGGCGTGGGGCGCGGGCGTGGCGGGCGCGCGAGGGCTGAGTGGATCCCAGGCAGAGGGATGGCGTCCAGCGGGACCGCCCGCTCTGGGCGCCCCAGTGCGAGACTCCTCCGTGAGACCCCTCCTGCCCTGCGCTTGTCTCTGGAGCCCATCCCTTGGGCCCCTCGCCCACCCCACCTGGAGGCAGGGTCCAGGGCGTCCGTACCTGGCAGAGCCAGGGGGCACGGGGTGACCTCAGGGAGTTCCTGTCCACATGCATTAAGGCAACGACTTTGTAAAACCCAGGCAGAGTTGGTGTGTGGCGTATGGCGATGTGCATGCGCCTGCCTGGCAGCCCTGGGGACCGGCCCCTCCTTGCTGGCGCCTGGCCAAGAGTCAGATGCTGAGGACCTCTCAGGACGGGGCCACTGGCCAGAGCCAGTCTCCTCGGCCAGCCAGGGGCACCACAGCAAGTGTCCAAGCCCAGAGCACACTCAACCCCACCCCACAAATGCCTTTTAAAACTTTGAAGAGGCCCCTCCCTCCCAAGCGGCCCTTTCCCGTCTCCTCCACCGTTTCCCACAACCTCCTCAGTGACATCACCTCCTCCTGGATCTGCCATCAGCCCCCACCCTTACAAGACAGCAAAGTTCAGCAAACTGGGACCCCCATTCGCTCATGCTCCCGGGCTCACGGAAAGCTTCTGGGTGTGCAGCTTCTCCAGGTCTCCCGGAGGGACAGGAACCTGGGTATTCCCTCCACCCCGGAGTCCACCATCCCACATCCTTCAGGAAGCTGCCCTGGCTGTCTGTCCTGCTCCTTAGCGCTTTGCTGGGGCCGAGGTGGAGCCTGCCCCACTGGGTGGGAACACAGGACGGCTGGCCCAGCACAGCCCCACAGGCTCCCCGGGTGGTCATTCCATCCTGCAGCCCCCAAAGGCCCTGACCAGGCCTTTCCACCCCACCCTCATGCCCTGAACATACATACATGTGGCCTGGGAGTTCTGCATGGGTGTGGGGGTTGGGGGAGGTACTGGACAGGGTCAGAGGATACTGGGGGCACCCGTGCACTGAGCGCCCACCCCTCAGAGCTCAGCCCCCTGCCGGGCACCCTCCACGGCAGGTCCAAGCCTGGTGAGCCATCCCTCTCACACCACGTTTGCTATAAGGGTTTGTGTCACTGGGGCTGTGCAGTGTCCACCTGTGATCTCGCCAGTGCCCCGGCCTCCGCTCGTACGGCACTCACAGCTCGGGGCAGTGGGGACAACAAGGGTGTTTCTGCGAAGCTCTCACGGCTCCTTCGGCTTCTAGGAAGCGACTAGAAATAGCTCAGGGCCCAGTTCTTTCTAGAAAGAAGGGGGTGTCCTTTACGGGGGTCCCTGACTGTGGGGGACCGAGCCCAGCTGGGGTCTTCCTCCCCTTCTCTCTAGCAGCAGGTCTCTCCGGCAGCAGGGTCTGGAATCTAGAAAAACAGACCTCCAGCCCTGAAGGGGGTAAATGTTAAAACGCACGCCCCGGCTGTGCCTCTCCTCCGGGCGGGACTTGGGGTGATCAGACCCACAGCTCAGAAGGTGCCCCTGGAGAAGCCCTCACAGTGCCTGGGGCGATTCCAGCCTCCAAGTGGGGGCTTGAGACAAGGTTCCCCAAAAGTTAGGGGCATCGCTGAGGGGCAGTGTGTCCTCCAGTGGGGGATGTTGGGCACCTGCCCTGCTCAGACATCTGTGTGTGGGAGGCGTGGGAGGCGTGGGAGGCGCGGGAGGCGTGGGAGGCACGGGAGGCGTGGGAGACGTGGGAGGCGTGGGAGGGGCCCTCCCCCAGCGTGTCCCAGCCGCGGTCACAGCTGGAAGATTCACGGACTGCAATTTTACGCAGAGGAAGAAGGAGAAGCTGGGCCAGGAAACCACAATGGGCAGCAGCGCCTGCCTGGGCCAGGGCCTGGGATTCGAGGCTGGGCCACCCATCCCAGGAGGGCCCAGCACCTCCAGGGCAGACCAAACACAGGACCCAGATGAACACACATACAGACGCTGGGACACCCTGGCATCTGACAGAGCCCCTCCTCTGGATGGCTGCCAGGCTGTGGGCGGGGGCAGCACAAGACCCTGACTGGGCTCTGCCTGGCACTCTGCCACTGTGGACCAGGAACCCAGACAGTCGGATACCCCACCACAGGGCTTGACATTCCGGCATCACCACGACCCCTAAAGCCACAATTACTCCCTGTAACCCCTCCCTAGGCAGCTTAAACCCAGCAGGGTCAAAGAGAAAGACCAGAGACAGAAGGGCTCCAATGCTGGAGGTGGGAGGAGTGTGCACGCATGCGTGTGTGTGTGTGCATGTGTGCCATGTGGTCTGTGCACTTGTGTGTGCACGTGGTCTGTGTGTATGTGTGTGCTGTGTGGTCTGTGCACTTGTGTGTGCATGTGTCAGTGCTGTGTGTGGTCTGTGTACTTGTGCATATGTGTGTACTGTGTGTGACCTATACATGTGTGTGCATGTAAGAGTGCATGTGTATACCTGTATGCAGGAATGTGTGTGCTCATATGTGTACAGTGCATGGTCTATACACGTGTGGTCTGTGCACATGTGTGCACATGTGTGTGCATGTGTGCAAGCATGCACGTATGCCTGTATGCGGGCGTGTGTGAGCACGTGTGTGTGCCAGTGGGCATGTAGGGATGTGCGCTCTAACAAACATCATGGGAGCTCTTTGCCATGAGGCGGCACCAGTCCTTGGCCACGCTCATTCACGCAGACACCCGAGGCGGCGCCGCACCACCTCCAGCCTCCTTCCCGCTGCACTTCTCTGAGGTGAGGTCCCGGGGCAGGGGGTGGCTGCACTGCTTAGGCTGGAGTCTGGGGGGGCCCAAGAGAGACCCTCTACCCCCTTGTCTCCCAAAACAGGGCCCCCCAACCATCCCAGGACGTGTACCTTCCCTCTTCCCAGGGACCAGAGACTTCCCAGGTTACACACCACAGGCTCCTTGCTGGACATGAGTCTGGCCTCAGTCCCTCCTGCTGGGCGGCCAGCTTCTGGTAGGGAAGGGATTGGCCTGTCTTCCCCATCCTGCAGAACCCCAACCTGTGCCTCCTGCAGAACCCCAACCTGTGCCCAGGTGCTCATGCCTCAGAGGCCCTGGGGGGAGGAAAGAGCAGGCGGGGCCACACCTGGCAGGGGACACACAGCACAGCCTCCCTCCACTGCCAGGTCTCTCTTCTCCGGGATCTGGAGTCCGGGTGGCTGAGCCGGAACTGGGGACGTGGGGAGCGGTGGCTGGGGCTGGTGCTGCGCTGGGCGGGATGCACTCACACCCCTGCCTGTGGGCCCCGCTAGGGATTCCCTGTCCCATGATGGGAAGGCGAAGGGATGTGGTCCCCGGGCTCGAGCCAGCCCAAGGGAGACAGCAAGGGCACCGCCCGTGAGACGCTGCCCAGGAAACACACCAGAAGGGATGCTTCTTGCCACCGCAGGGCCCGAGGCCACACACACGCTGCCTTTGGGAACAAAGCAGACAGGCAGTGGGAGCCTGGACAGTGGCTTCTGAGGCCTCCCAATGGGCACCTTTTTGGGACAGGCTCCGGCACAGGGAGGGGTAAGGAGACGGCCCAGCGGAGGCACCCCAATGACGACGTGGCCTGGGAGTGCCCTGGCTGGGCTGGGGGTAGGCACAGAGGCCAGGGTAGCAGCTCCCCACAACGGACGCCAGACATGGCTCCCCAAACACCCTGAGCGCCAGGACCCCCACCAGCCAGGGGCGTACGACCCTCACATGCTGCTTTCAAAGTCCTCTCCCTCAGGATGTGTTCCCCTGCTGACCTCAGGGCCTCAGGACCTCCCAGCCAAGCCAAGTGAACTTAAAACGAAGGTGGACGAGAAACGGGCCCAGGGCTCCCGAAGGTGAAGGAGAAACGGGCCCAGGGCTCCCCAAAGGTGAAGGAGAAACGGGTCCAGGGCTCCCGAAGGTGGAGGAGAAGTAGGCCCAGGGCTCCCCGAAGGTGAGAAACGGGTCCAGGGCTCCCGAAGGTGGAGGAGAAGCAGGCCCAGGGCTCCCCGAAGGTGAAGGAGAAACGGGTCCAGGGCTCCCGAAGGTGGAGGAGAAGCAGGCCCAGGGCTCCCCGAAGGTGAAGGAGAAACGGGCCCAGGGCTCCCCTGCCCTTGCTCTCTGGGAGTATTTGTGCCCATGACCCCAGCCCTGCTCCTTCCCAGGGAGGCCACTCTCCAGGAGCCCAGGCCCGCCTTCGATGCCATCACCCCAATGCCAGATGCTCCCGGGCTCTGGTGCTTAAGTCTGGAGCTAGGGACTCGCTCCCCCCATCACAACCGCCCGCCCCAAGGGCCACGGTGCCCGCAACAGGACAGGTGTGGGATGGTGCATCCCTGAGGCCTGAGACTCCAAGAGGCCCAGTTAAGGAATCGGTCAGTGGAGAAGGGGCCGTCAGCTCCAGGGGCACAGGAGAGCAGGGAGGGCGCTCAGCTGGGCTGAGGTGGGGGCGGCTTCCTCCGGAAAGGCGGGGAGGGTGGCCCCGTGCTGGCGTGAAGGCTTTCCTGGCCCACCGCATCATGGCCCAGCCCTGCCCCAAGTCTGTCAGGGCATTGGTGGACAAAGGTGAGGCAGATCCCTGGCTAAGAACTGTGAGGCCTGCTCACCAGGCAGGTGTCCCAGTGCCAGCACCCAACCAGGGCAGTCAGGAGAGAGGGGAAGACTTGGGGTCCTGCCCCCTAGGTCTCCGAGGCTGGGGTGCTGCTGGCTCTCACGCACCCACGGAAAGGCCAGGGCGAGGCAGCTGGAGCCCCCAAGGACCCCATTTCTGAAGACGCTTCAGAGCTGGATCCCTGGTCCCACCGTGAGCCGGGCCTTCCCCCCCAGAGGCCAAGACCAGAGGGTTGGACGTCCACTCTGGGCTCCAATTTGGTTCCAGGCCCCACCTGCTCCTCAGCTGCCAGTGAGGGTCTCCACCTCAGGGCTGGTTCCCACCAAAAGATCCCTCAGATCCCAGGAGGTACGGGAGAAGATGCCAATCAATAGCTCTGTAATTGGGCACCCCTGAGGTGGGGCACGGGAAAGTCCGCCGGGCAGGCCAGGTGTGAGGGCAGAGGCCACGCGCAGTGGCCGGCCACACCCACCCGCAGCTGCCCAGAAATCCCACCAGGCCCCAAGGCCCACAGGTCCTCATGGAACAGGCCCCTTGTGCCTCCCCTGGGCTTGGCTCCCTGAGACCATCCCCCGCCCGTCGCCATGCCAGCCACACCCCGTCATCACTCCCGCCCCTCCTCACACCAGGCCGATGTCTGCCACAGCCCTGAGCAGAGTGGACAGGGCGGCCTTACTGCTGCACGCTGCTCCTGGAGCCACAGGGCCCTGCCTGGCCCTCCAGCCCCTGTCGGAAAATAACTTCTGTAAAAGGTCACTGCCAGGAGCCCCGTCCTTCAGCCCACATGGGCCCCTCCAGGGCCCACCCTTCCCGCCACACTCAGTTACTGTAACAAAAGGGCCCCAGAGGGTTCCTGCCTCAAAACCTCGGAGGCACTGTGCTGAGGAGGGCCGCGGACGGGTCCACTGGCCCAGCGCTGCCTCACTTCCTGGGCCCGGCCCAGCCCACGTCACCAAAGGGGCCCTCGCCGGTGGCCGAGCGTGGCGGGGGCCCGCAGGGGGTACAGAGGTCGGAGTCGGTGTCTGACTCTCCCTCCGCGATGTAGGGCCTGACTTTGGCACAAGGCGCCACGGCCGCGTAGCAGCTGTTGAGAGCATCCAGGTTCTCCTTGGACTGGGAGATGCTGAAGCCGCTGAAGGAACGCTCCAGCTCCTCGTGGTCCACGGACGGGATGGAGATGGACGTGTCGCTGTCCCGCAGAGTCCCCTCGGGGGGCCTGCAGCCCGGGGCGTCCTCCTGCCTCAGGAACTCTGTGCTGGCGCGGTTGCCCCCGCCGTAGGCGGACAGTGACCGCTCATGGGCAGGTGGCGGCGGGATGCGCACCAGGGAGCCAGGGTCCCCCACGGGGGAGGTGCCGTGGCCCTGGCGCGGGTGGCTCTGTGGCTGCCAGGAGGTGGAGGGCGGACACTGGACAGGGGGCGCAGCCGGGGGCGCCGAGAAGTTCTTCTGGCCCGTGGAGCTGCTGGAGCGCACAATCTTGACGATGCAGCCGTGCCTGTCGACGTGCTCCCGGCTGTCTTCCGGGCTATGGTACGGAGGTGCCGGCTCCGGCTCTTTGGCCCCAAAGTAGGCCTCAGTCTCTGTCGGGGGGATGCCCATCCGCTGCATGTAGATGTTCACCAGGAAGTCCAGCTTCTTCTCCATGGACAAGACCTGCAAAAGGGGCTGCTGGGCTGGGCTGCGAGGGCCCGTGCCAGGAGACGGGGGGACCTGGGCTGCTTCCAGGAAACGGGGGGACCCAGGCTGGCAGGAAACAGGAGGGACCCAGGCTAGTCCCAGGAAGTGGGGAGGACCCAGGCTGGTCCTAGGAGATGGGGGGACCTGGGCCACTCCCAGGAAGTCAGTCGACTTGGGCTGGTCCCAGGAGGTGGGGGGACCCGGGCTGCTCACTGGAGAGGTGCAGGGAGGGGGGACCCCTGCTCCCTGGAAGCTGGAGGAGCAGGAAGAGGAGGCCCCCGAGCAGCTCCTCCTCCTTCCCAGACCCCTGGGGGCTCAGCCTCCAGCTCCACGGTTGGGGCATGTGTTCAGAGCCAGGCCCTCCTGCTGCCCACTGTGGAACCCCCTTCAGGGAAAGCCCCACAGGGCAGGACCTGGCAGTTCCTCCCTTACTGCTCAGGCCCAGTTCTCAGATGCAGACCCCAAAACAGGGGTCCTCTGCGGTGGTTTCTGAGAATGCACCCCCAGAAGACAGTGGCTGGGGTGTCGGGCAAGGAGGACAGAGAGGAGGAAGGCCAGGCAGGTACAACTTCTGGCACATTCTACAGGGGACGTGGAAGCAGCAGACTCTTGGGGACTGTCGGGAGGGAAGGCACCCCAGGCCAGGGGCGGGGGGCTCACGGTGGGGTGTGAGGGGTCTGCACAGAGCAGCCGTCAGTGGTGACAGGGGCATGTGCCCCCTAGACTTGAGGAGCCCTCTGTGGCACCCAGCCCTTGAAGCCCACACTGCCACAGGCTGACAGTAAGGGCCCCAGGACAGCAGGCACCACAGCCCTCCAGACCCGCACCCCTCCCGCCCAGCCTCTCGCACCTGCTTCTCCACCTTCCCAAGCCGTCCCATCATGCTGGGGTCCTCCGGCAGCTCCGCCTCGGCCGGGCCCTTGGTGCGGTCCTTGTCCGTGATCGCTGGGCCCCGCCCCACAATCTGGTCCACTCTACCAGGAACAGAGACCACAAAGCATGAGTTCGGGTGGGTGCAGCAGGGCCCCTGCCCTCTCCTCCTGGGCCAGGCTGCAGGCCCAGCCCAGAGCCGACCAGGGGGCAGCGGGTGCCAGGACAGATGGACGGGGTGCACCCCGTTCTCAGCCCGTCTTCTGGCACTGCGAGGTTCTGCTCCTGCCCGCTCTGTCCCCGAGGGGCCTGGCACATTAGCGAGGAGTAAAGGAAGCTCCCACCAGGACCAAGTCGCCTGGCTCCTCTCCGTGGGCTCCCGGCTCCCTCCAGCCAGCCCCACCTGCTCACCCTCTTCCCTGCTCAAGGCCTATTGACCCCACAGCCCACGGAGGGTCTCCCACTGCAGGGCCTGGAGCCCACTCCGGAGGATGCCCCTCCCCCTACCCATGCCCACCCTGGAGCTTTACTCCTACGTAATGTGCCACTGAGGCCGTCGGCCCCACCGGGTCTGATGGGGACAGAGTTAAATGTCTGCGGCGGGGATAACAGAAGCAGAAAAGGCGTGAGAGCTGCAGCTCCATGCACCAGGACAAGGAGGGAGGGCACAGAGCAGCACAGGAACCAACGCACAAACCAGAGGAGGGGAGACAAAGCTGCGAGGGTGTGTGCACGTGTGTGTGCACGTGTGTACCCAGGCATGTGCATACTGCATGTGTGTGTGCACGTGTGTACCCAGGTGTGTGCATACTGCACGTGTGTACCCAGGCGTGTGCATACTGCACGTGTGTGCACGTGTGTACCCAGGCGTGTGCATACTGCACGTGCGTGTGCACATGTGTACCTGGGCATGTGCATACTGCACGTGTGTGTGCACAGCCAGGTGTGTGCATACTGCACGTGTGTGTCCTCAGTTGTGTGTGCCCTCTTGCATTGCACAAGTTTGTGTGTGCACACGTATGCATGTGTTCATCTGTGCAAGACTGTGCACATTTGCGTGTGTGCCTATGTGTCTGCAGGATGCAGAATTCAGCTGAGCTGATCTCCAATGAGGCCATAGGTCACTCATGACAATAAAAAGGGAGGGAGGCTCCTTTGCCCTCAGGGACAGGGGCTTCTGACCAGTCTGGTAGCCACAGAGCCATGGCCGCTGCTGGGCTGGCGGGGGCCACCACGGTGGGTGTGTGCTGAGGCCTGCAGCTACATGGGAGCTCACTTGGAAACGAAGACCCTGCAGTAAGTCTATAAAAGTCCAGCTGGACAAGGGCAGCTCGAGACAGGGTGTGGCTGAGCAGGACCCGCCCAGGCGAGGGCACAAGCTCCCGAGTCTCCTCTGGACTGGGGCCTGGTACATGAAGAGCGCCCCACACCAGCCCGACGGGGCCGAGTCCTCACTTCCTGCCACTGGGCTGCCCTACCTGCCTCTGACGGGGGGGGAGGGTAGGCCGGGGGGGGTTTCTTCTTTCTGTTGCAAGAAACAGAGGGAGTTTCAGGCTCGCGTCGGCCACAGTGCAGCTCCTCATGCTCTGCGGGGCTTCATGCTGGACTCATGCAATAGGGCCAGGAGGGCGGGAGGGGACGGGGGAGGGGCAGCGGGAGGGGACCCTCTGGCTCCGAGCAGACGCCAGTGGCGATGGAGGAGATGGGGGTCCCTGGTGTTCGGGGCGTCCACACAGTCCAGGCAGATGCTCAGCACCTTCGCCCCTGCCACATGACGGGCCGCCCGCCTGCTCAGTCCCAATAGGAGCCCTGGCCACGGGCTCGGCCTGGAGCTGCTGCTGGGGGCTCCTCTGAGGACCCTGTGCCCCTCCTGCCCTGGACCCCAGACTGGGGGAGACTTGATCCTTGAGTGCTCAGTGCCCCGTGAGGTGGGGCAAGTGCTCCAACTGTCCCCCGGCCCCCTCTCTGTGTGAACCTACGTCTCCTGAGGACAGAGGACCTACCGAGTTCACAGCTATGGACGCCCAACTGCTGTCCCCTGTGGCAAGGCACAGGAGGACGGAGGACCAGCCCCAGGGCACAGCACCCTTGGGCCTGGGGGGCACCGCAGAGCAGGGAACCCTGCAAACACTGTCTGGGGCTGCCTTGGGTTGGGCAGTAACAGACGACGCCCTGCCTGCTCCCAGAAACTCCGTTCTCATGCGAGGAGCACGGGGTTGACGTGTCCAGTGCACAGAACCTCAGCCTCACAGGCAGAAACCCCACCACAGACGGAGGCGTCAGATTTGCCCCGGACGCTGCCCCCAACAGCCTAGGCCTGGGCTTCATTTGCCCAGACACTGGCATCGGCTGTGCCCAGAAACCCTCTGCCCTGAGCTGTCAGGAGGGCCAGGGGTCTATGCTCAGCCTCCAGGCCTCTGCCCGGGGGGCTCTGCCCTCCCTCAGCCTATCAGACTTGCCAGAAGATGGGGAACCACCATCATCTGAATGGTCCCTGGGAGGCAGGAAGGCCTTGGAAAGTCTGAATTAATCACTACAGAATCGGCTTCTGCCAGCTTACGTGGGCCGCGCCTCTTCTGCCCATCGGCTGGGGCTCTCGCCAGCTCCTTTATCAAAAACACTAATTAGGATGCTGGCGGCTTGAAAGCCAGCACCGGAGCTGCTCAGCACACGTCTGTGCCGGGCACCTGGCAGGCCTTTGCTCACATTTCTTCCCAGTGGCTTAAGGGGTAGATGCTGTGACCATCTGTATCTTCCACGAGAGGGAAGAGCCACAGACACGCAGCTCCACCTGCTCAGAGCCACACGGGGCCGTGCACACGGCCAAGCCCACCCCCGCCGTGGGCAGGTGCTGAGGGGCAGGTCAGTGCCTGGGGAGGCTGGAGGGCCCTCTGCCAGGAGGGGCCTGTCCAGGGGGCGGGAGCAGGGCAAGGGGGACATCCCTGAAGGTCTGATGGCATCTGATCCTGGAGGTGCTGCCCGGGGGCCCTCCAACTCCAGAGGGAAGTCTCACAGGGCGTCCAGAGCCCCCGGCTTCCCCAGGGCACTTGTCGAGAGGAGCAGTGGGGCCCCTGGCAGTCCTGACATGGGCACAGCCTGCCTGGGGCCCTGGAGGAGGAAGGGCCTTCTCCCTCATGTGGCCTTTTCAGGCACAGAGAAAACCCGAGCGTCCCCTCTGGCCCGGGGAAAGGGTGGTACAAGGTGCTGCCGTCATGTGGCCTGGAGCGAAGGGGCCGGCCGTTCCACAGACACGTCGGAGAGGTGCTGGCATCCTAACCTAGGTGAGTACTGGGGTGACTCTCTCGGAGGGGCCGTGGGTCCTTTGGTGGGGTACTTCTTGTGCCGGGGAGTTGAAGGGGGTGGGGGGCCCACAATCATATCTATCCTGGCAGAGTAAACAAGAAAAGAGACACCAGCAAAATGCATCGTAAAGCCACATGAAAGAAGGAGCTGGCCAGGAACTGGCGGAAACGGAAGGAACACCCAACAGAAGCAACAGTGAGGCTTCATCAAAACAGGTGCTCTCCCACAGAGGGTGCGGACGCCACCTCGCTGGACCTTGGATTTGCCAAGTCCTTCCCGTGTTTCAAGCAAAGCGTTTGACTCGGGAGCGGTGGCGGGAGGCCCCACTGCGGAGACCCGGGTGCTGTGCCCCGGAGCGTGCGGTGCAGGGGAGGTGCCTGCAGCGGGAGCCGGTACCAGACAGGCCGCTGCGGGGCAACGTGAAACGCATTGTCAGGAGCCGGCCGAGGACTCCTGGGGTCCTTGGGCTGTTTGGTTTGGTTTGTTTGTTTTTCCAGAGAGAAAAGGAAGGGAAGGAAAGGGAAAATTTAGGATGAGATCCTGGTGAACAAAAACAGCTGAAGTGAGAGAGATGTGGAGACAAAGCACAAAAGTCGACAGGAGGGCGTTCCGCACGCGCACGCACACGCACACGAGGCCAGCGCTGGCCGCTGCTCCAGAGATGACGCTGGAAAAGAGGCCTCGCGGCTGGAGCCCAGCGGGGCGCAGGGGATGGCTCGGCAGCCCCTGCACAGCAGCAGTGGGCTAAGGCCTGGAGGCGCCCCTTCCCTGGCCCCCTGAAACAGGACTGGGCAGGAGCCCCAGGCTGGGGTTCTCGACTGCCTCAGAGGAGAGCTTCACTCCGCTGGAAGGCCCGGAGTTGGGCTGTGACCCCGGGCTGTCCCTGACCATCCCAGCCTCCTCCCTGTAACAGGGGCCCAGCCTCGCTTCCAGGGCTGGGAAACTGCTACAGCCTTGGTTGGGGGGGCCTGGGAGAGGGAGGGGACCCTGATAGGCAGGAGCATGTCCCCTACTGCAGGAGAGACTCCCAACAGCCGTGTGTCCCCCTTACAGGCAACATAAACACCCACTCGTGTGTATATGCCTGTTTGTATGTGCCTGAGGCTGCATACGTGTGGACTTAGGGGACACCTACACCAAGAAGGGCAGGTAGAAGAAGAAAAGGTGCCAAATAGCATAACTGCTGCCTGGCGGGGCCCATGGGAACCCTGCAGCTTCATGTCTCAACAGAATTACTCCATCCCCAACACACATGCACACACATGCGCACATGTGTACACACATGTATGCACTCCCCACACACGTGCATACATGGCAGAGCAGAGCCACATGTGCACACCACACACATACACCTGTGCGGAAGCACACGTGTGCATGCGTGACTTATACACACACACATGCACACGCACGTTTTCAGGGACCCACACACGCAGGTGCACACACTTTTCCACCGCAGTGTGGATGGGGGAAGACGGGGGAAACAACAGAAATATTAAAACCGACTTTGTGAAGACACAACAGAAGCTGACAGAGGCCGACACGGGTGGGGGGGAGGCCTCCCCCGCACACCCCTGCACTCCCACCGTGGGCCACAGTGGGCTTTGTCCCAGAAGCCCACCCCGCTCTCGTCCCCTGCTGGACAGGCAGGCGAGGCTCTTGCCTGGACTGCAGGCTCTTGATTCGGGACAGCATGTCCAGGTGGCCGGCTGAGTACTGCTCAATGACGTCCATCACGTCGTAGGGCCGCAGGCTCTCCTTGAACTTCCGCTTGGACACCAGGAACCGCATGACACTGCAGGGGGTGGGTGGGGCCGTGAGCCCTGGGCCAGAGACCCCAGCCACATGCACCAGGCTGGCCTGCGTCTGCCTGCCTGTCGCCCTCCCAGCACCTCTGAGACCGTGGCCCCTGAAGATGGCTGGACTTGCCCGTCTTGTCTGCCTCCCACCAGCTCTACACACAGAAGGGCCTGTTCGTGGCCCTGCTATGCCCGTGACAGGTGGGGCTTGCAGGCCTGGCCATGCCCCCCGGACTCCGTGCCACAGCAGGCACAAAGTGGCTGAGCTGCTTCCTAAGCCAGGTGGCACCAGGCCTCAGGCCTCTTGCTGAACCAGCGTCCCACCCGAAGCCCACCCGAGTCCCAGAGTGGACTCCAGGACATTCAGCCAGGTTGCCGTGTCTTGGCCCTTTCTTTTCCCGGTAGACCCTGTCTCTGGGTGGCTCTGTCCAGCCCCATGAGCACCTGCAGGAGGCAGGACCACCGAGCGGGAGGCCTCTCCTCACTCCCCCAGGCTCCCGGCTGGGCAGGGGCCTCACCACACGGCTCTGATGCTGACTTTGAGGCCCGGGGTCAGGTCCTCAGTCACAAACTCGCAGGGGCAGCTCTTGTCATCCACAATGTCCTCTCCAGGGAGGCTTGCTTCTGGGGGGAAGGAGACAGGCCGTGAGGGGTCGAGGGGGCCGGAAGACCCATTCCCGGGGTCCTGCAGGGCACACCAGCTGGACAGAGCGCCAGGGAGCCCTTTGAGGCTCCCTGGGGTGCCCCATGGGTGCACCTGCTTTTCTGGAAACCCTCCCCTCTGCATCCGGCTGACCTTCCCCGGCAGCCTGTGGCCACAGGGAGTGGTCGACGTGGGGCATCAAAGGACACCCCGGCCAACGGATGAACAGAACATGGTGCATCCACACACACATGTTAACAGCGGAAGGTGCGGGCCTGACACCTGAGGCTCAGTGAAGGAAGCCAGACCCGACGGCCGCATGCAGGAGCCGCGGACACACACGGCCCGAGAGCGGTGGGCGCTGGGGCTGAGGCGGGGAATGGGGTGACCACTGATGGGGCCGCAGTTTCCTTCCTGATGAGAATGTTCTGGAACTAGGCTGAGGTGGTGGCAACCATGCCACCATGAGTGTGCCAAATGCCACTGAATTCCTACACTTTTAAATTGTTAATTTTAGGTTGCATGAGTGTAACTCAATTTTAGAAAGGATGGGGGTTCCCACTCCAAGAGCAAGCACAAGAGGCTGTGATGCCACCGGGTGTCCCAGTGGCTCGGGCACCACCTCCATCCCCGGAGAGGGCGGCGCGGCCAGACCCACCTTCGGAGTTCTGCCGTGACGCGGCGCCCTTGATGCGGAAAGCCTGGCGCGCCCGGCTGCGGTCCCCGAAGCTCCAGCTCTTGGGCACCTTGCTGGGGCTGTCCTCGAGGCTCTGGTCGGCGCTGGGCGACCGCCGCACAGTCTGGGCCTGCGGGGACCCCTTCCCCTTGGCAGCTACGCCTCGGGGGCTGGAGAAGACACGATCTTTCAAACTGACCTTCTGGCTGCTCCCATGGGAACCGACAGACAGACAGACAGACAAACAGAAAAACAGCGAGAGAAGTCACTCTGGAAAGAACACAGACCGTGTCTGCTCACGGCCAACGCCGCCCACGCGCTGCAGGGAGACACAGGTCTGAAGAACAGCCAGCCACACAGGTGGCTCAGAGCAGATGCCACGGGGACCGAGCACCGGGCGGGAGGAGGGAGGGAGGGGAGGCCACGGGGACCCAGCACCGGGCGGGAGGAGGGAGGGAGGGGAGGCTGGGTGGGCGGCAAGCTCCCCCGGCTGGCCCAGGCGTGGCCAGAGCTCGGCCGTGTCGGGGGAGTTGATGTCTGTGGACTCTTAAATCACTTTCCGCTACCACCGTGAGGTGCCAGTGCCTTCTTCACGCTGTCCCGCCAGCCCCTCACCCAGTGACACGCAGGGCAATGGGCGTCCCAAACACCAGGGCTGCGGCTCTCCTTCGGGCACCTCTGTCTGCCCTGGCCCCACCCGTGGTTTCCCCTGTGGCCTTTTCACACCCGTAACTGCTCCCAGGAAGCAGCCTCCCTCCTGCCCGCCCACCGCCTGTCCCTCTCCTTCTGCCCCAGAGTCAAGGGGCCGGGGGACAGAAGGACGTTGGGGGCCAAGTCTGCGGCAGACTCTTCCGCCACACTCCAGCCTCTCCACCCAACCCGGGGGACTGCCTGGTGGGACGGGCTTCGGGAGGGCTCAGGCCTCCCCTGTCGGGCTTCCCTCCCACCAGGTGCGTCGTCAGAGAACTGCTCCTTCAGGCTTCTGGAAGGAAGGAATGGATAACGGGGCTCCTCCGCCAGCCGGGCCTCAAGCAACAAGCCTCACTGTCCAAGTCCTGCCCCAGGGCAGGGGGAGGCAGCCTCGGAAGCTGCAGTGCTGTGGCCCACCCCCTCGGCCTGCGAGGCGTGAAGCAGGATTTGCAGCTGTGTCTGGCTGGATCTCCAGCTCCATATTCTCGGGGGTCCTTGGGCCTGCCTTGCTCCTGAGTTTTTTGGTGACCGTGGCGACAGGTTTGCACCCAAGTTCTTCAGCTCCAGCGTCCTCCGGGCGACAGTGAGGGGAGGGGAGGGGTCACTGTGGTTGGGATGCACCCGGCAGATGCGGCCTCCTGAGGTCTGGAAAGCATCAGAGTCCTCTGGCTCCCTTGAGGACAGTGGGGCTCTCGTGAACTGGGGACCCGCTCGTGCCCAGCCATGCTTAGCAGCCACGGAACTTCTCAGGGCGGCTCTGGGCAGGGCCCAGAGTACCGTTCCGGGGGCCTGAGACCAGCCCTCGGGTGGGGAGGCCCAGCAGATCCCTGACACACTTCAGAGAGGAAGCCCAGTGCCTCAAGGGCTCACTGATCCCACGGCAGCTCCACAGCCAACAGCGAGGGACTGAGGTCCCGGTCAGCAGCCACCATCAGCCCCAACCCCGGACCCACAGCCAGAAAGACACGCCACCAGACGGCACAGAGATAACCAGCCACAGACACGAGACCCACCGCGCCCATCTGCCCGGCCTGGACACGCGGGTGGCTTGGCTGCTCCTCCCCACCCCATCCCCCGGGCAGCAGGTGACCGCCCAGACCATCTGTGCCCACTCGGGTCTCTGAGAGAAAGAAAGAAGCCCCCGGTGTGGTGCCCGCTTGGGGAAGCAGAGACGGAAGCCCCCGGGTGTGGTGCCCGCTCAGGGAAGCAGAGACGGAGTGGCTGAGACCCCCCGAGGTGGCGCGTGCTTGGGGGCATCAGGAGCCGATGGTACAGGCTCGCTCAGGACCCCAGCCCTGAGTCCACAGCCCTGCACTGCCTGAGGCCAACACGCTGTGCCCGTAGGGGCCAGGGGTGCTCAGAGTCCTGGTGCCATGGGGGCCTCTGTCCCGACGACCTCTGGTCCCTGTCCCAACAACAAAAGCACAGGTGGCCGGGGAGCACCGGACCGGGGCCGGGGAGCACCTGGGTTCCGTGGGACTCTGGTCTGGAATGTTTTCTCTTCCTCCACTGCATGAGCCATTCCAGAGGTAGGAACAGGCCCTCCTGGCCCCGCTCAGGCCTTAGGACAAGTGGGAGTCACTGGAAGACTCAATTCCTCTCTCCACCTCTCCACCCCAGGCAGGTCCAGTCGCCAAAGAGAGAGAGAAGCAGCCACCTCCTTTCTCATGGCAGCTGGCAAAGCACCGGGTGGAGGGCGGAGCCGGTCGGCCCAACTGCAGCTTCGGGGCTGCCCCTGGCTGGTCCCTGGGCAGAGCCCAGTGCTGAGGGCTTGCCGTGGGAAAGGCACAGCTTGAGGAATTGGCATCAGATTCCTTCCTGCGGCTTCGGAGACGAACGGGTCAAACACCCAGGCCGCCACACAGACGTGCCGGCCAGGAAGGGTCAGGCCCCGTAGTCCGCAGGGAGTTGCAGGAAGGGAGTGGTGTGGATTCCGCAGGCCCCAGGAGAGAAGACCCGGCCCCAGTGACGTCTGCTTCCCATTTTCCAGTGGGGAACTCCCCCTCCCCGACACCACGAGGAGCCGCAGTCCCACAAGCGGCAGGCATGCCCTGCTGGACCCGATGCCAGCACAGTCCCAAGGGCCACCGGGACGCAGCCCACGTGCACTGCCCCAAGACGGAGCCGGCGGGAAGGAGCCTGCCCTGGCCTCCGCACGGCCCTGCCGTCCCGGGTCTCGGGCTCCGCTCCCACCTCAGATCTGTGAGGGAGGCTCTGCCAGGGAGAGGAGGCTGGTGGGGCCTGGACGTGTCTTTCCCTCCCCTGGACCTCCACCATGACCCAAACTCTGCACCCTCCAAGCACAGCCGGTGAGGCTCCATGCTGCAGCCACCCGACCCCGCCAGCCTGAGCTGCCAGGAGCGCACATGGCCTCACGGGAGCCTCCCTCGGCGCACAAGCCAGGAACAAGCACACGCAAAAAGCTGCCGACGCCTGCCTGGGAGGATCCCTCGGCCAGAGCTGCCCTCTGCGTGCGAGGGGCGTCCGTGGCACCTACGCTTGGCGCTTACGGGGCTGGGGCAGGCTCAAGAAGCACCTGGGAGAGAGTGCCACCCCCACCCTGCCTGCCACCCTCCCTCCCCGTGGGGAAATTCAGATGTGCGGTGCCTGCAGGAAACAGGAGGCTGAGGAGCATCCAGAGCCCCGCCCAGCTGGTGTCTGGACCAATGATGCCCAGGGAGTGTGAGGATGAAGGGGCTTCCCGTGGGGGCTGCTTGCGGCAGGACAGGACCTGCCACGGGTCGTCTCTGGCCTGGGCTCCCACCCCCACTTCCAAACCCTCTGGTCCCCAAGCAGCCTGACCTCAGCCCCTGCCCTGAGGGACCAGCATGCGGCCAGAAGCACCCTGGACGGAAGCTCTGGACAGAAGCTCTGGACAGGCAGAACATCCTGCTAGAACCCCAGCAGGCCGTGCCCCGGGCAGCCCACATGCCCGTCTCCCTCTCTGAGGCTGCCAACAGTCTGCCCGCAAGCACCGACTCCAAAGCACACAAGCAGCAGAGCAAAGTCGCAGGGAGAGGGTGGCCGGGGGAGGTGGGGGCTGCGGGTCCCCCGTGGAGCAGGGTCTGGAGCATGCGTGGATACAGGTAGGCAGCATGCAGCCCCACCAACCCTCCGAGGCCAGCACCACGGGCGGCATGCACGCGCCAAGGAGGCCCCACGTGAGCACGACACAGCCGCCTCCACCTTGCTGGGCTGTGCTGGCCAGGAGGGAGGGGCCCCCAGTGCAGGCCTGCACACACCCCACAGCAGACAGGGGACGAGGGACAGGGGAGGTGCGGGTCACAGTGCAGGCCAGAAGCCCACGGTGCAAAGGGGGCGGCTCCTCCCCCGTCCTGTTTCCACCTGCCCTAAACCAGGCCTGTTGTTGGGAGAGGGAGCCGCGGGCCTCTGGCTTTCTGGGGCTTCTGATGCATCAGGACCCTGAGGAGCCCGGCACACGCAGACGGAGCTGCCTCCCGCGGGCGAGGCAGCCAGGAAGGCTCAGTCGTCCTCAGGTGTGCAGCAGAGGTGCTAGAGTGACAGCCCCAGGGGAACGCTCCCTGAAGAGCAGTCGGGGACCCCAGGAGGCACGGACGCCTTGCTGGGTTCAGAGCCCCTGGCTGGCCCCTCCAGCTGCGTGCAGGACATCGCCAGGCGTGGGGAGCAAGAAGAACCACCTTCGCCCAGCTCCGCCCTGCAGGCAGCTGTCGGCTGGAATAGAAGGAGCTGAGCCCGCACCGCGAGGGCGGTGGGTCAGAATTGGGGTTGGGGCGCCAGCCTCCCCCTGGCTCCTCCAGAACCTCTAGTAAGCAGGGAGGGGCAGAGGAGCCGTGCAGCAGCGGTCAGTCCGTGCGGCGCGTTCCGCGGTACCTAGAGCGTCCGGGGCAGCATCCACACAGGGGCCCTCTGCACGGGCTGCCTTTACTGGAAATGAGGAGAGCACAGTTAGTCCTGGGCGCCGGCAACAGCACACGGCCGGGAGCAGGGAAACTGAGGCACCGCCACCACCCAGGGTGTTGTGTGCAGTCCCCAGCAGCAGAGCTTGCGCCCAAGCAAGGTCAGCGAGGAAGGTGCACCATCGTCTCCACCGTCTGGAGAAGAAAACACTTCCCTACTTCTGAAGGAAAAAAAAAATCCCTGGTTTTTGTGGGTTTTTTTTCCTCCAAAAATACCTTTTCCTTCCAAAGCCACAGTTTGGGTTCATGTCTTAAAAGATGTATTATTTTTTGCAGTATTCATGCCAACAAAACAATAATACATGTGGCCTCAGACGCTGCAGAAGCCCCGCTCGGGATGGACGTGATCCCAGGAAAGGGTGTGGGTGGGAAGCACATTTTTTTTTTTTTTTGAGACGGAGTCTGGCTCTGTCACCCAGGCTGGAGTGCAGTGGCCGGATCTCAGCTCACTGCAAGCTCCGCTTCCCGGGTTCACGCCATTCTCCTGCCTCAGCCTCCCGAGTAGCTGGGACTACAGGCGCCCGCCACCACGCCCGGCTAGTTTTTTGTATTTTTTAGTAGAGACGGGGTTTCACCGTGTTAGCCAGGATGGTCTCGATCTCCTGACCTCGTGATCCGCCCATCTCAGCCTCCCAAAGTGCTGGGATTACAGGCTTGAGCCACCACGCCGGGCCGGAAGCACATTTTAGGGAGAAAAACGTGCAGCTGTCCCACTTCGCAAACCAATCAGTGACGTTTGGCCACGCCAGCCAGGCCCCCAGCTGGAGGTGGGTCTCGGGTTACTCAGGAGGTGTGGCTGCCGCTGCAGGCGTGGCTACCCGGGGGTTCAAGGGCTCCCCTGAGGATAGTCACGTCGGGGCTCGGTGGATCCCCTCAGTGCAAAGCCCTTCACCGGGGCAGCCCCCGCTGGGCGTTCCTTAGAAAAGGCTCAGAAAACTTGGCACGCTTTCCCAAGAATCTCCCCGAAAGCCCTGGCGATTTATCTCTGCATCACAGTATGCAAATGATTAAGCAGAAAATGAAAGCAAATCACCAAGAACGACAAGAACCCTTCCTTTTCCCCGCCCCAGCCACCCCTACCCGCTTTGCCGCTGCTTCCTGAGACAGCACTTCTCAAACGAGGCGCCCCAGGAACCCCAGCGTGACGACGGCCTTCCACTCAGAACACACAGGCTCTGGGAAGAAAGTGTCCCGCCTCCTGCCTTCTTGCACACGCGTGTTTAGACACCAGCGTCCCTGCATAAACCCGCTGGCAGCTCTCCACGCGGCGTCACGGACACGGCTAGCTCCAGTCATGGCAGCACTCGGCCACCCGGGTAGCTGAGGGCTCCGGACCCTTCCGCGAGCCCCACCGGCCTGCAAGACCCCAAGGACGGGTGACCAACTTCCACCCCAGCCCCCGTGCCGGTCCCGCTTTTTAGGTCACAAGCAGCTTTGGGTTCCCCAGGCACTAAGGGATATAGCAAAAGGCCGGACTCTGTTTGCTGGTTAACCACGAACGCGAGGGCGGGACGGGGCCCGAGGTTCTGGCTGCTCACAGAGTCTCTCCACTGTGGCCACCGAAGCCACGATGACACCCAAGCCTTCCTGGAAGGCAAAGACCTCAGACTCCCACCAGTGCCACCAGGGTGCCCAGGCCCAAGCACAGAGCCCCTGCCTGGAGGGCCCCAGGAGACCTTCGCCACCCCGGGGAAGGAGCATGAAGGAGGCAGAGTCCCGCTTCCCCAAACCTCCCAAGGTCTCCTGTTTTGACCCCATCACGATCGCCTTGACCAAGAGGCCCCTCCCGGGCTGCCCCTGCCGCCCAATTCTGCGATGGAATCGTCCTGTCGCCACACTGAAGCCCTGGCTGTCGCCACCAGGCACCTGAGACTCGAGAGTGAATCTCTAATCGTGCCCATTTTAATGCACATTATTTTAACAGCCACCCGTGGCTGGCAGCTCCTGTATGGGGCAACGTGGTCTGAGAGCCAGGGAGAGCTGGTGGGGAGGCGCTGCAGCCACAGCCCCCCAAGACCCCCAAAGTTTTGTGGGGGGCCCATGCAGCTGCACCTCACCCTGGGGTCTGCAGCTGGCACTGGGCTTCCTTCCTGCCCCATCAGCCACAGGGAGCTGCCCACTGTGTGAGAAGGCGCCGTGACCCGAGGCCGGACAGGCAGGCGAGCCCGAGACCCACAGATGCTGACCAAGACCCGACAGGACAGACAGGCACCAAAAACACGCGGACACTTGTGCTTGAGAAGAGGAGGAGGAGCCCACAGTCACGAGGGAGCCCACACAGGCACGAGGGGGCCCACACAGGCACGAGGGGGCCCACACAGGCACGAGGGGGCCCACACAGGCACAAGGGGGCAGCTGCTGTTGGGGGCTCCTCCAAGCACGGGGGCAGGAGGCAGTGAGATACAGGATGCGACAAGACAGCACAAGTCAGAGCCACCGTGGCCACAGAGACCCCCCAGGACCTCCCTGGGGCAGCACAGCCTGAGCCCCCTACCTGGCCACAGAGACCCCCCTGGGACCCCTGCCCCGGGCAGCCCAAGCCCCAGCCTGCCTGGCTCCCCACCCAACCCCAACGCAGACGCCTCCTCTGACTCCAGCACAGCCCCAGTGGTCCCTACGGGAACCGAGCCCCCGCCAGCCGGGTCGCTTGCCACCACGTGCCTGTGTTCCGAGCTAGGATGGGGGTGAGGGTCTCAGCAGTGAGTGAGGGTCCCTGTGTCCACACCATCCACCTGCCAAGACCAGCTGACACCAGCGGGGTCCTGCCATGTGGGGTGTGGGCTCCACCTCCAAAGGGCAGGCAGAGGCACGGGTCCCACCGGACTCACAGAGCCCAGGTCGGGCAGCAGAGGGGCACCAGGAGCCGAGCTCTCCCTCAGGCTTCACAGAGCAGGCCCCTCACCCAGCAGCCCAGGGACGTGGCAGGTAATGATTGCGGAACAACTTCCTAAGCACAGCCCTGCACTGGACAGGCTGCGGCGGCCCCAGGCCAGGGAACAGAGACGCCACCCCATTACCTGACAGGTGAGCACCCCAGGACGGGCAGGGAGGGCCTTCAAGGGCAGAGACCGCTCCTCCCTCCCACTGCACCCCAGGCACCTTCCGGAAGCCCCAGACCCAGCAGCCCCACGTCCCTCACCACAGGCGTCCCAGGAGGAGGGCCAGGGCGGGTGGGCGCTCGCCCATGGGGGAGGGCATGGGAGGCACAGGCAGGCAAGGACCCCCGGACACATGGGGAAGAGACGGGGGAGGGGTGGGGAGCCACAGAGCTTACCGGAGAGCCCGGAGGCTCCCGCGTGTCCTCACCTGGAGTTCGCTTTCAGGGCCAGCACCTCATCCCCAAAGAGGGCAGACGAGAGAGGGGCCCAAGAAGGGCAGTAACAGGGATTAAAGCGCTTGGGGGCAGCGGGTGTCCAGATGGGTGGGGTGGAGGGCGGGAGGGAGAGAGAGAAAGAGAGAGGCTGAGACGAGAACGTGGAGCGGCCGGGCGGGGGGCGTCGAGCACGAGGGCCCTGAGGCACGGGGCATTTCCGGCGTCGCTCTCAGCAAGGGCATGGGGCCCGGCTGCGCGGAAGCCTCTCGTCCACCTGGGACAGCACCGAGGTTCCGCCCAAATCACAGGCGAGGGTGCCCATTGTAGGGGGCACAGTGTCCATCCCCACAACCACTCCCAGCCTCAGGGCCAACAGCAGGGGCGGGGGAGGCAGTGACAGGAGAACGACGCGGCCCCGGCAGTGGCAGCAGTGGGGGGGCACCAGCAGAGGCCGTGCTGCCCATCCAACTCTTTCTGGGCCCTCGTCCGTTTTCTTAGCCTCTGAGAGGACGAACGGGCCCCTAGTGGTTCTCTTGGTTGGTTTGGGCCGGAAGCATTGCCCGTCTTTCCAGCTCAAGGCACTGACCGTGACCCCCCTTCTGTGGGATGTGGGGTGGCTGGAAAAACGGAACTCAGCCCCACTCCATCTCCCCACACCCAAGCCCCCCAGTGTCTCGCCCGCTGTCACCCTGTCCAGGAGGGCACGGGCGTGAAGCAGCCAGGCATCCATCTCGGACTCCAGGTCCGAGGGGCCAGATTTACTCTGCAACATGTGGATGGGGCCGAGAGAAGCCTGGGACCTCCTCAGGGTGACGCATGGGGGGCTGGGGCTCGGCAGACATAGAATTCACTTGTGAAATGATCTTGATTTTCTCTGTCTCCATCCTTCACCCCTTACACGAGTCCTGTCTCCAATCTGCCTGACCCGCAGAACCTCAGGGACCCGGGAGAGGGAACCAGGCTGAGCACCTGCACCCTTGGCCCACCTTGACCTTGGCAAACAGGGAGAGGAGGCTGGCCAGAATCTCCACCCAGGGGCGTGAGGCAGAGAGGATGTCCCACCCTCCCCGGAGGACCAGGGGGCCCCTGGTCTGTGCCATGTGCTCCAGATACTCCCGAACCAGAACAGCGGGAGGGAAGGCCAGAGGCCCACTCGGAGCTTCCACCCCGGCCGGCCCGACTCAGGCCAGCTGTGAGCTCAGGCTGTGTGCCTGCGGCTGGAGGGAGTGCGCTAACAGAAACCCCTGCCTCCGAGAGCCCTGGGGACAGACTTGTGGGCGGGGTGGGGGATCCCCCCGAGAAGCCACCCAGCTGCCCGGATCCACAGTGCTGCAAAGTAAAACCGAATCACTGGGGAGGGGTGAGCAGGAAAAGTGATTTAAGGGCCCACATCACCGCCAGGCGGGGGTCTGGACACAGTCACACGGTCACACACGGAAGCACACACGAGGCCCTCATGTCTCCACAACAGGTTGTGCCAACGTGTGGGAGAGAGACCAGACGGTTGTGTACACGGCAGACACCAGGGCAGCGGCGAGGGGCACTGACCTTGGAGACGGCTCCGGCGGGGGCTCCTTCCTTCAAACAGAAGCAATAGAGAGTTAGTGGCCGCCCGCTCAGCACCCTTGAGGGTCCCCTAACCAGCCCAGCCCCCCACAGTCCCATGGGCCAGGGGCTGCAGGGGAGGGGGTCTCAGAGAAGGCTGGGCAGGGGTGGAGCTGGCTCACCCACCCCAGAGAGCCCACGGCCCCAGGAACGGGCACCCCAGGGCCCATGGCAGCAGCTCTGAGAGGAAAGAGGGACTCCGCCGGGGGCTTCTGCTCTTCTGACCTGGGGGTCACTACCCCCCACATTCACGGACACTCATTTTAACCAGAACCACACCAATATTAATAAAGTTCCAAAAAGGACATGTTTGCTGAAGAAAGCTCCGCAAGGGAGTTTAGTTTACAATCAATTTTCGAGACAGACTGAGCTGCTCCGACTCTTTTTCCCACGCTTATCCCAATGGAATGATTCTCTCTTCCGCACGACTCTCCGGGGTGGCTCCATTGCGCCACAGTCAGTGAGCCCAGGGTTTGTGCCACCAACCAACTGTCCCGGCCTCGCCCTGCAGGCAAAGCTGTCTGGGCCTTCCGGCGTCTCACTTGGGGCTGTTTCTGCTGGTAAAGGCATTGCAGATTGAGTAGAGATCGGTGGATTGTGATTCGGCTCATCCATGGGGAGGCCCCAGCGATCTCGTCCAAACACCTGGGCTGGTGCCCCGGCTGGTACGCCGTGTTACAAGCAGGTTCTTTGGTGCACTTCCAAATACTTCATGTGGCAGGGACCGTGTTGCCGTGCTCTCGGGGAGGGTCCCTCATCGCCTCCTGCAGCTCCCGGTGGCCCAGGTGTCCTTGGCTTGTGGCTGCACCACTCCGTCTCTGCCTCTGTCTCTCCATGGCACTCTCCATGTCTCTGTGTCTTCCCCTCCTCTACCTCTGTAAGGACAGCTGTCACCGGGATAGGGCCCATTGGGATGATCCAGGGTGATCTCATCTCAAGATCCCAAACTCAGTTATAGCTGCAAGGACCCTCTTCCCAAATAAGGTCACATTTGCACATTCTGGGACATTTTGGAGACCAGCATTCAACCCACTGCATTCCCCCAACCCCCCAAAATTCGTGGCCGTCTTATGTCCAGAATACACTCACCCCTCCCAAGATCCCCCAAAGTCTCCACCCTCTGCAGCACGGAATCTGTGTCCAAAACCTCATCGAACTCCCATTTGTTGGCCGGGCGTGGTGGCTCACGCCTGCAATCCCAGCACTTTGGGAGGCCGAGACAGGCAGATCACCTGAGGTCAGGAGTTCGAGACCAGCCTGACCAATATGGTGAAACCCCATCTCTACTAAAAATACAAAACTTAGCTGGGTGTGGTGGCGGGCGTCTGTAATCCCAGGGACTCGGGAGGTTGAGGGAGGAGAATCACTTGAACCCAGGAGGCAGAAGTTGCAGTGAGCCGTGATCGTGCCATTGCACTCCAGCCTGAGTGACACAGGGAGACTCCGTCTCGGAGAAAAAAAAAACAGAAAAAGAAATCCCATCCATTCAAAAAGTCCCAAATCCCATCATCTAAAGTCATGGCAATCACTTAAATCAGGTGTGTGTGAGACTGTGGGTGTGCACCAACCTGGGGCTAAAGTCCTCCGTGCACGCACCTGTGAATCTACAAAACAAGTCATCTGCTTAAAACATCAACGGCAGAGGCCGGGCGCGGTGGCTCACGCCTGTAATCCCAGCACTTTGGGAGGCCGAGACGGGCGGATCACGAGGTGGGGAGATTGAGACCATCCTGGCTAACACGGTGAAACCTCGTCTCTACTAAAAAATACAAAAAACTAGCCGGGCGAGGTGGCGGCGCCTGTAGTCCCAGCTACTTGGGAGGCTGAGGCAGGAGAATGGCATGAGCCCGGGAGGCAGAGCTTGCAGTGAGCTGAGATCCGGCCACTGCACTCCAGCCTGGGCGATAGAGCGAGACTCTGTCTCAAAAAAAAAAAAACCACATCAACGGCAGGACCGCCCTTCCCACTCAGAAAGGGAGAATGACAGAGGGGCCACCGGCCACCACAGTGGGCAAACTCCACGTGGCACAGCTCTGGGGACGCTCCTTGGGGGCTCTCGGCCCCACCGGCCTCTGCGGGAGCCTCGGCGTCGCTCTCCGTTTCCTGAAGGGCAGCTTGTGTTAACAGCTGAGGACGCCACCGGCCTGTTTCCTGCCTGCAGACTCCCGGAAGTTCGATGCCTTCTTACCTTCGTCTGACGCTGTCTCTGCCCATCTAGTTTATGCTGGTATGAAACTCCCCAAAACCTCCAGGGCCTCCTGAATATGTCACAGGGCGTGATGCCGTTAGACAAGAGGCCGCCCTGCACGTCCTTCCCGGATAGCTCCATCTTCACGCCTCTGTAGAGACGCTGGAGGCTGCGGCCGCACACCTGGCACCTTATGAGGCTGTCTGGCCACACCTGTGGGCTTCTCGCCAAAGCAGGCTTTGCCAACAGTGAATCTCCTAATTTAAGACCCTTTGCAAGCTGGACAGGCTGAGCACCTCCCAAACCTTCACGTTCTGGTTTCTTACAGCGGTTCTGCCCTGAATGCTTTCTTCTTCTTCTTTTTTTTCTTTTTTATAGTCTTTTGGCGGATCGGCCAGGTGCCATTCCAAATCTCCCTCTTTCCTCTCTCACTTTACTATGAGCAGCAGAAACAAATTAGGCTGCACCTTCCACACTTTGCTTGGAAATCTTCTTGGCTCAATATCCCAGTTCATCACTTAAAAATTCTGCCTCTGCCCGACAGCAGTGCACAGCCTGGCGGATTCTCTGCCACCAACAACACAAGGACAGCCTTCCCTCCAGCTTCCAATAGCTGCATCCCCACTTCCTCCTGAGCCCCACCATCTCTTCAGGACACCTCAGTTTCTTCCAGCCTGCACCTCAAAATATGTCCAAAATCTCATCTAAATCCCATCAGTTCAAAAAGTCCCAAATTTCATCATCTAAAGTCATCAGAGGCCGGGCACGGTGGCTCCCGCCTTTAATCCCAGCACTGTGGGAGGCCGAGACAGGCAGAGCCCTTGAGATCAGGAACTTGAGACCGGCCTGGCCAACCAACATGGTGAAACCCCATCTCCACCAAAAATAACAAAAATTAGCCGGGCGTGGTAGCAGGTATCTGTAATCCCAGCTACTCAGGAAGCTGAGGCAGGAGAATCGCTTGAACCCGGGAGGCAGAGGTTGCAGTGAGCCGAGATCGCACCACCGCACTCCAGCCTGGGTGACAGAGCGAGACTCCATCTCAAACAAAAATAATAAATAAAATAATAAAGTCATCAGAATCATTTAAATCAGGTGTGTGTGACTCTGGGTGTGAAGCATGCGGGGGCTGAAATCCTCCACGCGTGGACCTGTGATTCCAGGAAACAAGCCCCCGCGTCACGCAGTTCTGAAGTCGCGCCCACACTTGTAGGTGTTTAGCACAGCAGCACGCGGCTCCCGGGATTAAAGTCTGGATTCACGTGCTACAGCTCCTGTAACTAAGTGCCGCTGGAGTGTACAACAGACTTTTGTTCTTTCACCGTCCCAGAGGCCAGAGTCCAAAACCAAGCGGCGGCGGGCGGGCGGGCGGACGGGCGGGCGGGCGGGCAGGCGGGCGGACGGGCGGGCGGGCGGACGGGCAGGCGGGCGGGGCCTGCTCCCTCCAGCAGCTCCGGGGAACGCTCCTTTCTGCCTCTTCCAGCTTCTGTGGCTCCAGGCAGCCTTCGGCTGGTGGCCACATCACTTTAGTCCCTCTCCATCCTAGTTGGCTGTCTCCTCCATGTGTTTCCCCATCTCCCTCTCCTTGTAAGATCACTCATCGCTGGACTCGGCCCGTCCCGAAAATCCAGGATGATCTGAGATTGTCCTGACAGGTTCCAGGACAGAAAGGTGTCTCCAGGAGGCAGAGACCAGCATCCAACCCACCAGAAGCTCCTGCCCCATCAAGGGCTTTCCGACACGGAACTGCATGAGCACGGCCCTGGGCCTGGGCAGGCCTGGCAGGTGAATGCGTGGTCCACGTCTCCCGCTCAGCAGGCCCTTCTGCAACCTACCTCGGCGCCCGGCACTCTGACAGCCGTGGGCTTTGGGCCGGAAGGAGAGGCAGCAGGTGCCGCCGGTGCCTGAGTCACCACCAGGCCCTCGGGAGGATGCAGGGCCGGGGGTCCGCAGGGCCGGGACACTTCGTGTCATACGACCCACACACCTGGGTCCCACGTCAACCTTTGCCCCTCCCTCTCTGCCCGTCCCCCAGACCAGCTGCCCGTCTGGGGATGGGAGTCCAGACCAGGTCAGCAGACACGGAAAGAGAAAGCACCACCATCACCAAGTCCAGCGTCCCTGTGCATCCCAGCTCCCTGGAGGCCCCAGGGCACTGTCCGGGGCGAGTCTTCTGTGGGCAGCCGGGGCCCCCAGAGGACTGAAACGCCCACCCGCCCCACCGGGAGCTCCCTGGCTGACCTGAAAGCAAGTCCAGATTTACTCTTGAGGTTCCTCAGCAGCTCCAGCTGATTCAACGGGGGGATGAGTCTGGGGGAGAGGAGAGGGGAGTGAGCGTCTCACCCGCCCGAGTCCTGGGACACCTCCCTCAGCTTGCACAGCTCCACCGGCCGACGCCTGCGGTGCCAGACACCCGGCAGCGTGTGATGTGGTCAGGCTTTCAGGCAGCTGCCCACTGGGTCCTGGGCTCAGGCCCACCTCTCCTGGGCAGTCCCAGGAGCCACCTTCGTTCTCTGGCTGTGCCTGGGGCCTTGTCAACCAGCAGGGACAGCAGAGAGGACGGAGGAGGGAACAGGCCACCCATGCAGCCCCAACCCTGCAGCCTGGAGCAGGTGGAGGAGGGCGCGCAGGTCGGGGGAGGCCCTACTCCCTGCCCCCCTTCTAATCCCTGAACATCCCAGAAGGACAGCACCTGAATATATTTAGGGCCCCGGCCTCTCTCTACACAGCCACTTTCTCTGCCAAAGCTGGAGGAGTTGGGAGGTGGGGATACAGAAAAGGATTTTGCTTGGCAAAGGGAACCTTATTCTGGAGTCTATAGGATGAGCCCAGGCTCATCAGGCCCAGATGCCCAGCTCTGCTCCGAGCCCCCTTCCCAGTCCTGGTCATACCCACCCCCATCTTCCTGCCCTGCCGCCCACAGCCACCAGCAGGACCAGGTCCGGGTCCCCTGAAGCCCCCCAGGTGAGCGTGCAGGCGCCTCCCCACGTCTGGGTAGGACGTCCCCCTCTTCATCCCCCCCACCTCACTCCGCCTGCTCCTCACCGCCCGTGCCCTCAGAGTATTCCAGCTAGCTTTAGAAAGAGATGCCCTCCTCGGGAGCCTCTGCCCCACCCGGCTCCCTGACCCACCCCTCCGCCTCCTCAGCCTCTGCTCCTAGGCCCCGCCATCCCGTCCACGGCCTCTTTGTTCCCTCTACAGCCCCAGAGGTGCCCCCCAAAATGCTGGCAGGAGTGGGGCTCCTGTGAGCCCCCTCCCTCCAGAGGGCAGTCCGCTGTCCAGATCAGAGCAGGAACCCAGGCGACTGGTGAGCTGGTGTTGTGGGCGCAGCAGAGCCCAGGTTGGCTGGTGTCTGTCCGGGGGCCACAGGTGGCTCCCCACCTCTCCTTGGCGGGACCCACACGCACACAGGCCCAGATGAGAGACACACACGTCAGCCCTCAGAGCCACACAGGAGGCCATGCCTCGAACACACAAAGCAGCAGCGCCAGGGCAGACAGGTGGGCAGCATGGCCAGGGCAGGACAGGGCTGTGGGACGAGGGCGCAACAAGGGGAGGGGGCGGCCCTGGGAGAGAGCAGAGGCTGGGGAGGGGGCAGCCGGCTTCAGCGCCAGCCACCTGGCCCCAGGGGCGTCAGGGCCTCTGCAGACATTGGAGATGTCTTATGGCTGAGCATGTCGGGGGCAGAGGTGCCGGGGACCCACCACTGCCCAGCATCGCACCCACTTCCCTTCTGGGAATGGAGAGTCAACATTCTAACAGTTCCCAGGAAGGGTGGCCAGGTCTCTCCTCCAGGATGGGTGACTGGCCCCTGGAGGAGTCATCAAGGGCTTCTCTGCAGGAAGCCCTCCCAGTCCATGTGGGGAGCGGCTGGCCCCAGGCTCTGCAGGGCGGTGCCGTCACAGAGCACAAGCTTGCCCACCCGACAGGGAGGGCCCTTCGTGCTGTATGCGGGTGAGGCTTCCCATAGCGGCTCACTGCCCTCCAGTTTGAACAAACAGCCCTTTTTCCCGCTCTCAGCAGTGGGGAACGCACAGGGGTGGGACGGCCCAGAGCCTTGGGGTTCCCCTGTCACACCAGGGCAAGACTCAGGAGAAACTTGAGTCCAGGGCAGAAGACCCTGAAGCAGACCCCTGAGGTGAGCTGCCCGCGGAGGCCACCCCGTGAGCCACGGTGGGACAAGGACCATGGCCGGCCTGGAGGTCCTGGCCTGGGAGCACCTTTGGCCCCAGATGGGTGCCCAGTGCCAGGGTGGGGGAAGCCCCCCATCCACCATTCCTGCTCTGCTCACAGATGGGGCCCGTGGGGTGGGGATGGAGGCACGAGGGGAGCCAGGCCGGAAGCAGGACAGGACAAGACCACAGGGGACACAGGCAGGCCGGCAACAGGAAGCAGCGGCTGGGGGCAGGGACATGGTGAGAAGGGTGGATGGGCCTGGGGAGGGCAGGGTTGACACATGGGCTCCAGGGAGGGCAGGGTTGGCATGTGGGCTCCAGGCAGGGGAGGGCCCAGGGTGATCGGGCCGCCCAGCATGGGGCCACGCAGGGCAGGGGTGCAGGGATGCTCGGTGGGCGGGGACAGTGGTCACTCTACAGACTGGGTGGGCTGTGGGGCTCCGGGGGCTTGCCTGGTCACAGTTCCAGACACAGAATGAGAACCACACACACACACAGGGCTTCTGTCCATGCATTTCCTACCTGGAGGCCCCGTAGGTTTGAGTTTGCGAACTTTCAAGTGTTTCCACACACACAAAGGGAAAAGAACGGAAAATTTCAAAAAGAACGGGATAAGAAAAAGAAAATGAAACAAATAGTCGAGGAAAGTAGGGGAAACAATAGAACAAAGAAAATTAGCACAAGGGCTGCTTCTGTCCCCGCCCTGGGCTGAGAGAGGCCGCTTTGCAGAAACAGGGGCATGGCCAACATTCCCAGGAAAGACGGGCAGTGCCAGGCTCCTAAGGTCAGGCTTCCAGGAGGTGCAGGGGGGATGGTGCTGAGGGAGGGGTCGGGGCAGACCCCGGAGGGCAACTGCAAACATCAAGGACCACCAAGGGCTCTGGCACCCTCCTCCCAAGTGACACCCTGAAAAGGCAGGTAGCAGCTGAGGATGGCCAAGGGTCTGTCCACCCTTGCCAACTCAGGATCCTCAAGAAGAATCCTGGGCCCCACCCCAGCCTAGAAGTCCCATCCACACTGTGCACCTGCCCCACCCTCAGGGAAGGCTCTGCTCTCAGGGAAGGCTCCACCCACAGGGAAAGCTCCACCCTCAGGGAAGGCCCCACCCACAGGGAAGGAAGACCCCACCCACAGGGAAGGAAGACCCCACCCACAGGGAAGGCTCCAGGCTCAGGGAAGTTCCCACCTACAGGGAAGGCCCCACTCACAGGGAAAGCTCCACCCTCAGGGAAGGAAGGCTCCACCCTCAGGGAAGGCTCCAGGCTCAGGGAAGACTCCACACACAGGGATGACTCCACCCTCAGGGAAAGCTCCACCCTCAGGGAAGTTCCCACCCACAGGGAAGGCCCCACCCTCAGGGAAGGCTCCACCCTCAGGGAAGTTCCCACCCACAGGGAAGGCCCCACCCACAGGGAAGGCTCCACCCTCAGGGAAGGCCCCACCCTCAGGAAGGCCCCACCTTCAGGGAAGGCCCCACCCCCAAGGAAGGAAGGCTCCACCCTCTGGGAAGACCCCACTCTCAGGGAAGGCTCCACCCTCAGGGAAGGAAGGCCCCACCCACAAGGAAGGAAGGCTCCACCCACAGGAAAGGCTCCACCCTCAGGGAAGGGAGACCCCACCCTCTGGGAAGGCTCCACCCACAGGGAAGGGCCCACCCACAGGGAAGGCCCCACCCACAGGGAAGGCCCCACCCTCATGGAAGGCTCCACCCACAGGGAAGGCCCCACCCACAGGGAAGGCCCCACCCACAGGGAAGGCTCCAGGGAACAGAAACCCCCTAGCAGCAGGTGAGGAGGGCGCCTGAGCTGGGAAGTTCCTGGGCTCAGTTCCCCACGTCAGAGCAGAGGGCGGGCGGGCGGGCAGGGTGGTGCCCACATAGACGGACTGGAGGAGTCAGGCCCACGTGGACCAGGAGAAAGGCCCTCAGAACTCCTCATCTCAGACCTTAATTTAAGCAAGAGCTAGGCACCGAAAATCCCAACTGGCTGCCACCTGCCCTTTTGTAAAACAAAAAAACACGGGAAAGCTGCCCTCCGACCACACAGGCTCACAGGACCTGCTGGCACTGCCTCGACTGGCACTTTTTAGGCCCCCTTCTCTGCTGCCTGAGGGGCTCCAAGGTTGTCTGTGTGCTCTGTCCTGTTGGGGGACACCTGGGACCCTCAGGATAATTTGAGTCTCCTGGTCCGAAAGCCTCACTGTGAGCCGGGGTTACTTTCCTGCCCCCCACGCAGGAGCCCTAGGTCCTTGCTGGGGGATGGGGTCACAGTGCTGGTTCCACTCATGAAGCCTGGGCACCTCGAGCTGCTGGTCCAGAGCAGCCCGGGGAGAGCTGTCAAGCTTCCTGGGGAGCGTCCTCGCAACGCACACAACACAGCATGACCCATGGCCAGGACGATAAAGCAACGGGGGAGGAAATGAAAGTGAAAAGAAAGCCGCAGCTCTAACACAAAGGGCAGAATCAACGCCTTGAAATAAACCACACACAGAACTCCTTTGTGAAAAATACATACATTTTAAAGAAAAAAAACAATCAAAATAATGAACAACAAAAAGTGGGGTTTAAGAACAAATGGAAAACAAAAAACGAAACAGATGCGTGGTGGCAGGTGCCCGGCGGCGGTACCTGTACATGGGCACGGTGACCGTGCGCTCGTAGTACTGCCACGTGGAGTGCAGGTCTGTGCGCGAGAGGTTGGTGGCGTAGAATCTCCAGGCCGACTGCGGAGGGGGAGACGAGGCGGTTGTCAAGGAGCAGGTGGTGAGGGGTGCGCCCAGGAGGGCCAGGCATGGAGGGAATGGGGCAGAGAGGACCTGGGACTCCCATGCTGTCAGCCCGGCACTCAGGACTCTGGGCCAGCAGGCTGGGCCCCAGTGCTGCATCAGCCCCACAGCCTCAGTTTACCCCCTGCCGGACAGACAGGCAAGACCGCGTGTCAGACGGTGGGGCCTGAAGGAGGGGAGCGGTCAGGGCTTGACTCGGGGCCCTCAGATAGTTCGCAGGGAGGCTGCGTTCTTTCCTTTCCATGACTCTCGCCTGGCCCCTGGCGGTTATCACCTGTCCTGGGTGTTAACCTTCCTGCCCTCCCTGTTGGGCCCTGGGCAACCTGAGACACTGGGGGTATGGGTAGGGCCAGGGACCCCAACCTCCATCCTCCCAGGGTGGGGACTCAGCCTGGCTCGGGGCATGAGCCTGTGGGTTAGACTGAACCTTGCCTGGCTGGATTTCCATTCTCTATGCCTTTGTTTTGTTTTGTTTTGCGGTGCTGAAATAGACATATCCTAAAGTTCACCATTTTAGCCATTTTAAAGTGTGCGCTTCAGTGGCACCTGCACACGCAGTGCTGCGTGACCACTGCCCCTATCTAACTCCACACTTCTTCGTCGCCCCCAAAGAAACCCCCTACTACCCCCCACGTCCAGCAGGCACTCCTGGTTCCCTGGTCCCCCAGGCCCTGGCCACCGCCAGGGTGTACGGGGCTCCACGGACTTCCCCGCCCCGGGCGTTTCCTGCCAAGGACATCGCAAGCTGCACGGCCTTCCCTGTCCGGCTCCCTCCGCTGAGCGTGACATCCCCGGGGCCCATCCTCGTCGTAGCAAGGGGCAGCGCCCGCTCCTCCTCATGGGAGGATCATATGGATAAATCATATTCCGTTCATCCATTAATAGACATTTCAGCTGTGTCCACTTTTTGGTTCCTATGAGTGGTGCTGCTGTCACATTTGTGTGCACGTGTTGGTTGAAGGTCTGTAGAACGGCTGGGCTACGGGGTAACCCCACGTTTCCGAACTTTCTGAGAAATAACAAACTGCTTTCCCGGGTGGCCGCATCGTTACATTCCTCCCAGTAGGGGGCCCAGTTTCCACACATCCTACGCTTGGTTTCCCATTGGTTAACACGTCAGCCACCCTGGCCAGGCGCCGCGGCTCGCCGCACCTTGGAGGCTGAGGCAGGTGGATTGTCTGAGCCCAGGAGTTCAAGACCAGCCTGGGAAACATGGCAAAACGCTGCCTCTCCTTTAAAAAAAAAAAAAAAAATTAGCCAGGTATGGCGGCGCACCCCACAAGGAATTCCTTGTCAGGACTGCAGCAATCCAGACGAGATGCTGTAGGAGGAACGCTGGCCCAGCAGCGGCATCTCCACCAGTGAACGGACGCCAACTCTGGTTTTCAGCCTCCAGAGCCAGTGAACTCTGTTTCCAAGCAGCTTATGTGAACTTCTCAGCCCGGGAGAGCTTCCCTGCCCCTCCCCCTCCGGCACACGGGCAGCCTGCCACACGGGTTCATCTCTGGATGAGAGCTCCCCACCCTCCGGCCACAGTGGTTCATCTCTGGTTATAATCCTTTCTTCTAATTCCCAAACACATTGGACACGTTTGGAGGTATTTTTTCTGTTTTTTTTTTTTTTTTTTTTTTTTTTGTCGACAGAATCTACTCCAGGTGAAGATGCTGTGAACAGTGTTGAAATGACAAGAAGGATTCAGAACATTAAATAAACTTAGTTGGTAAAGCAGTGGCAGTGTCTGGGAGGACTGACTGCGAGGCTGAAAGCAGTTCCACTGTGGGTAAAATGCTATCCAACAGCATCGCATGCCACAGAGAAATCTTTCGTGAAAGGAAGAGTGAATCGATGCGGCAAACCTCATTCTTGCCTTATTTTAAGAAATCGCCACAACCACCCCAGCCTTCAGCAGCCCCACCTCATCAGCAGTGGCCGCCGGCATCGAGGTGAGACCCTCTGCTGGCACAAAGATTACAACTCGCGGAAGGCTCAGGTGATTGTTAGTATATTTTAGCAATTAAGTATTTGTAAGTGAAGGTACGTGCAGTGTTTTACTGGTTTTTAGACATAATGCTACTGCACACTCAGGCTACAGCATGGTGTAAACATAACTTTTTTTTTTGAGACGGAGTCTCACGCTGTTGCCCAGGCTGGAGTGCAATGGCGCGATCTTGGCTCACTGCAACCTCCGTCTCCCGGGTTCAAGCAATTCTGCTGCCTCAGCCTCCTCAGTAGCTGGGATTACAGGCATGAGCCACCATGCCTGGCTAATTTTTTTATATTTTTAGTAGAGATGGGGTTTCACCATGTTGGCCAGGCTGGTCTCGAACTCCTGACCTCAAGAGATCTGCCCACCTCGGCCTCCCAAAGTGCTGGGATGACAGGTGGGAGCCACGGTGCCTGGCCTGTAAACATAACTTCCACATGCACTGGGAAACCACGAAATTCGTGTGACTCACTTTATTGCCGTTATCTCTATTGCAGTGGTCTGGAACCATGGCTGCAGGACCTCTGAGGTGTGCCTGTGGAGAGGCCCAACGGTGCTCTGGAAATGTGCACCAGCTGCTGTTAAGAGTGACCTTCGAGGGGAGCAGGGCGCACGGGACCCTGGGTGCTCAGGTGCTGCCTTTTCTGGCACTGTTTTAACCTTTTCACCACATGTACGTGGTCATTTTTTAAACCATCAATAGTGGAGTGAGAGTTGGGGGCATTTTTGTTCTTCTTTATAATCTTTTGCATGAAAATAAATGGCTGTTTGTAGTTTTTATAGTGGAAGATAAATACACACCTTAAGGTGGGCTGGGCCCAGAATTTCTCCAAGACCACGAGAGGCACATCCCCTGCTGTTGCCACCGACACTCCATGGCTTGTGGCCATGTCTCCAGTCTCTGCGTCTGGTCACACTGCTTTCCCCTCCTCTGTGTCAAATCTCCTTCTTATAAGGATGCATGTCATTGCATTTAGGGCCCACCTGGTGTAACCCAGGCTTATCTCCATCTCAAGATCTGCTGTCTGAGACAGGAGAGAGCCCTATAGCCACATCCAGCTGGCAGGGACCTGGTCAGTTCTGAGGGTCCAGTGGATGGAAGACTTTGGGGAGGAACTGTAAGAATGGCTGGTCCCAAGGGGGTCCTGCTGTCTGTCCATATTTTCTTTTTTTATTATTTTTTATTTTTTTGAGATGGAGTCTCACTCTGTTGCCAGTTGGAGTACTGTGGCGTGATCTCCGCTCACTGCAACCTCCGCCTCCGTGGTTCAAGCGATTCTCCTGCTTCAGCCTCCTGAGTAGCTGAGACTACAGGTGCACGCCACCACACCCGGCTAATTTTTGTATTTTTAGGAGAGACGGGGTTCACCATGTTGGCCAGGATGGTCTTGATTTCCTGATCTCGTGATCTTACCACCTCGGCCTCCCAAAGTGCTGGGATTACAGGCGTGAGCCACTGTGCCCAGCCATTGTCTGTCCATATTTTCAAGGTGGCTCAGGAATTACTTGTGGATGCCAGAGTGGTCACTGCACCCTACCTACCCCCAAATGGTGGGACGGGGCTGGGTGGGGTCCGGGCAGGCATCATCGGGGCCTACAGCCAGCATCAGGGGGCAGACGGGGTCAGGCACTGACTCTGCAGCATGTGGGCTCTGGGAGCCTCAGCCCTGCAGCTTCCGAATGGGTGCACTCGCCTCCCAGGGTGCGGTGGAGAGGACCTGATGGCTGGGCCCCAGCGCCCACACAACGCAAGGGCCACCCCAGCAGCATCTTCACACAAACCACCCTGTGCAGCCTCAGGGGTCGGAGCCATTTCTCAACACACACACTCGCATCCTGGCTCCTTCCACACATTCCCGCAGAGGGTGAGGGCTGTGGCCCCATCCGCAGATAGGGCAATGCCAAGGCCCTGGTGGCCTCTACTCCTGGACAAGGTGGGACCAGGACGAGGGCTGCGCTGGTCCCCAGGGGACTCACCTGGATCAAGCCTGCAGCCGGGTTCCGCCTCTTCTCAAAGTGCTTCTGCCGGTGCTGCTCCTGAACCTTCAGGGCAAAGCCAGACCCCAAGATGCCCTGCAATTTGTCAGGGTCAGGCCACATCCCAGGGACCCCCACACCCCAATTCATCAGGGTCAGACCACGCCCCGGGAACCCATGTCTCCCACCTTCATCAGGGTCAGACCCATCTCCACTGATCCATACCTCCCCCACCTTCATCAGGGTCAGACCCGTCTCCACTGATCCATACCTCCCCCACCTTCATCAGGGTCAGACTGCATCCGGGGACCCGCGTCCCCACAATCCATCAGCACCAAGAGGAAAGAACCCACTGGCTTGCAGGAGACATGGCAGGGCCCACACTGAACTCAGGGTGGCCTCTCCTTCCCTTCCACCCGGAAGAGTCTGCACACCCATCTTGAAGGGCACACAGTGAAGGAACCACCGGGCCCAGCCTCTCGCCGTGCACCAGCTGCCCTGCCCTGCCCTGGGGCAACAAAGGTTGGCAGGGCCCCTCCACCTTCCTCTGAACTGGGTGGGCCTCACTGCGTGGAGATCCACGAGGGAGCTGTGTCACCAGCCGCCCTGCCCCTGGTCACAAGGACGTCCTGCTGGGCCCCACTCAGACTAAGAGGGGCCACCAGTGACTAACAGAGCTCCTGAAGCTACAGCCACAGCCCTGGGCATGCTCCTGCTAGGGCTGGGGAACCCCCCACTCCAGTCCTCGGGGAACAAGGCCTCTGACCCTGAGCTGCCACCTCCAGCTCCTGGGGGCTGTGGACCTGCTGGGAGCTGCTCCTGCCCCAGGTCCCACCCAGGGAACTGTGCCCAGGGGCCTGTGGTCACCTGGGGAGCCTACAAGACCTCGTCCCCCTCCAAGGCAGGCAGGGCAGCTGGACTTACTGCAGGAAGCGCGAAGAAGGAGACACCGATGAGGGTGAAGGTTGCCGCCAGGAGCCTGCCGTTCCAGGTCTGTGGGTACTTGTCCCCGTAGCCAATGGTGGTCAGCGTGATCTGTGGGACCACAGGCTCCGGTCACATGAAGGGCCTGCTCACACCCCTGAGGGCAGGCTAGACGCCCGCAGGCGGCTCAGGGCTTGGGCTGGGACAGATGTGGTACCACTCCCATGTCACCACCCACACAGGGGCCCAGTGAGGCCAGGGTTGGGGTCGCCCGCCCTTCATCCCCAGAGCCCTCTCTCCTCTTCCCCTACAGGCCAGAAGCAGGGTCCAGCCAAAGGCTGTGTCCCCATCTCACATCGAGAACCAGAGGCCCAGTGACGTGACTCCCACGAGGCTCGGCTAGGACGGCAGCCCTCGCCCATCCCCGCCGGGTGGAGAGCGCGGCTGGGGAGGAGGGAGTGCCGAGAGGGACCCAGAGGAACAGGCGGGGCGTGCAGGGGGCTCGCTGAGCCTGACCTGAGCTGAGGCCAGAGGAGGGGGTGGGCGGGAGGAGGCCATGATGAGAGGCGGGGGAGTGGTCCCCACCGGGCCATGGCGGGGTGGCTGCTCCTGGAGCAGGGACCCCAGGGGTTGTGTTTAGAGTTTCTCTAGGGGTGGTGGGCAAGGGGGCGGTCGGGCCAGGTTGGGCCTCCCCAGGGGTCCCAGAGAGCCCAGGAGCCCCCAGCTCAGAGCTTGGGTGAGGGAAAGTAAAGGACGGACACGTCTCCAAGCAGCTCTGACAAGAGACGCCCGTGCCGGGGCCGAGGAAGGCGGGGCAGGTGCCCTGCACTCAGTGCTGGACATGTGGGGGCCGCAGCCCACCCCCCCTTGCCAGAACCGCATGCACCACAAGCCAGGGGGCTCAGGACAACCGCACAGAGGCCACTCTGGCTTGGACGAGAAGGTGGGCCCGGGACAGGCCCTGGGAGGGCAGGGTCTTAGACAAACAGAGGGAGGGGTCGAGGCCTGAGCACAGACAGCGGGGCCGGGAAGGGGAGACCTCTCCCCAGGACCCGCAGCCCCACCCCGGGGAGTTTACCCCAGGCTCTGAGGACGCCGCTGTGTGGTCTGAGGACAGGGTGGGCCGGCTGGGCCGCGCCCGCTCCACACTGAAGGAAGCCGCAGCCTGGCGCGAAGTACCACCTGCACTTGGGGGCCTCGGCTGCCGCCACCATGCGGAGTGCACAGAAGGCTCTGGGAAGGAGGCTGCCACATGGAGTGGGCGGGAGGTTGGGTGAGGCCTGGACCCAGAAACCTCTCCTGGGGAGACCAAGCCAGGACCTCAGCCCTCTACACAATTTCTTTACCAAAGGAGGCATTTTTTTTTTTTTGGTTTGTTTTTTGTTTTTTTATTTTGAGACAGAGTCTCGCTCTGTCCCCCAGGCTGGAGTGCAGTGGCGAGATCTCGGCTCACTGCAAGCTCCGCCTCCCGGGTTCACGCCATTCTCCTGCCTCAGCCTCCCAACTAGCTGGGACTACAGGTGCCCACCACCACGCCTGGCTAATTTTTTGTATTTTTAGTAGAGATGGGGTTTCACCGTGTTGGCCAGGATGGTCTTGATCTCCTGACCTCGTGATCCACCCGCCTCGGCCTCCCAAAGTGCTGGGATTACAGGCGTGAGCCACCGCGCCCGGCCAAGAGGCATGTTTTGGAAGACATGAAACAGTGACTATTGACATTCTCAACTCAACCACATGACAGCAAGGGCTGAGGGGGAAGGCAGAAAACCAAGAGGGAGAGGATGGGGACTGAGACGGAGATAGAGACAGAGAAATGGAGACAGAGAGATAGAGAGACAGAGGCAGACATAGAGACAGAGAGGTATGGGCCTGGCACGGTGGCTCACACCTGTAATCCCAGCACTTTGGGAGGCCAAGGCCGGTGGATCGCTTGAGCCCAGGAGTTCAAGACCAGCCTGGCCAACATGGTGAAACCCTGTCTCTACTAAAAATACAAAAATTAGCCAGGTGTGGTGGTGCACACCTGTAATCCCAGCCACTCAGGAGGGTGAGGCAGGAGAATCACTTGAGCCCGGGAGGTTGAGTCTGCAGTGAGCTTTGACTGCACCACTGCACTCCAGCCTGGATGATAGAGGAAGATCCTGCCTCAAAAAAAAAAAAAAAAAAGAGAGAGAGAGAGATGGCAGAGAGATGGGCGGGGCAGCGAGACATGGACCCTAGCTAGAATGTTGTGGGGGACAGGGGAGTCGAAAGAAGCCAGAGAATCCCAGAGCAGCTTCCAAGCCCGGGTCCCACTGAGGGCCAGGTCTGTGAAAGGGGGCCAGGCCCTCCACCCTCCCCAGGGGGGTCACATGGATGGGACACTGTCACACACAGCTCTCCGAAAATTTCTGCCCCTGAAATGTTCCCAGCTGCCATCCGACCTGCTCCTTCAAAGTAGGCGCCAACTCAAGGGAAAGGAAGCTGGAGACCTGGCAGATGGGCCCTGGCCTGCCGGGGAGGTGAGGGCGGGATTCCCCCCACACTGGTGAGGACCCCCAAAGGCTGCAAGAAAGGGAAATTGGGGGTAGATCTCATCCTATCCCAGTAGAAAGCACACAGTTAGTGTGTTTGAATCAGAAATACCAGCATCTCTATTTGCTGTTTAAGACTAATCAGGTAAACCCCAAAGAAAAACACAGAAGCAGCCGCAGCCGCAGCCACGGCAGAGGGACCCAGCGGGGAGGGCACCGTGACCACAGAGCGGGGCTGTATTCTCACCATAAGGCTTAGGAACTGTCTGACATTTAAAAATATACACAAGCATTACTCAGAAAAAACACCCAAATAAAAACCCCAATTCAATCGTAAAGATAAGAAAACTTGCCCACAAAAGACCTGGGGGATGGGCTTGTCCCCACTGAAAGCCCGAGGGCCCGGCAGTCACAGCTCAGGATGCACTGGGCCTCACGCTGACCCTACGGTGGGGCCTGAACCAGAGCCAGGTCGTCTGCCTGGTCCACAGCCTGGGCCCCGGGGCACGCTCAGCTCTCAACCCCCACCCAAGCCCTGCCTGGGAAGACAGTGCCTGGGTCTCATGAAATTAATAACTTCAGATCAGCTGCATCCAGCTTAGGCACCAGGTGGAGCTGCCCACACCTTTCCCGCAGGGCTGAGCCCACTCAGCCAGCGTGTGCGGGGCTGGGCCTGGGGTCTGGTCTCAGCCTCCGAGAAGACCACAGACCCCGCCCCTGCACACCACCAGCCTGAGGGTGTCTGTGGCCCCAGGTGAGGAGGAGCCCAGGGCCCAGATCTGTTCAGACCTGATCAGAGTGGGGCCTGCAGAGCCACCTGGTCTCCAAAAACACAGAGCCTCGGAGATCCCACGTCCACCCCACTCCAGGGGGTCCTTCAGAAGGCTTCCAGGAACCCTCTCGACAGGGGTGACTTGCTCCGAGAGAAGCCCGGCCACAGCACAGGGACAGGTGGCCAAGAAAGTGGGCTGGGGTCCCGGCAGCAGGGAGGCCAGGGAGGGGGTGACCAGTAGAGGGGCCACAGACCCACAGGCTCCAGACCACCCTGGACAGACAGGCTGGAGGCTGAGCTGGGGCCAGAGGATCGGCTGCCCTTCAAATTCTCTCCTCTCTCACCCTGAGGGGCAGGGCCAGGGGTGGGGGCCAGGAACAGGAAGGCCCAGGACAGTGGCAGCCAGCCATGGGCACAGAGGGCAAAGCCTCCCACTCACCCACCCCCACAGCCACCAGGTCATGGGGTTGGTCCCTGGACCAGGGTTGCCCAGGACAGATCTCCTAGAGATGCCGCTTCTCCCCCTTCCCCCAACGATCAGGACACAGAGCAGGTGTAGGATCACTCAGGAGGAAGGATGATGCCCACCACAGTTGAGCTCAGGCCCCATGGGGCCCAGCCCTCCCCACCTGCTCCCCCGCCAGCGTGGCAACCGCCACCCCGCCTCAACCACGAGCCATCATGACCACGGGCGGCCAGCAGGTGGCCCCAAAGAGATGTATGGAGCCGGCTCAGCCAGCGACAGTCTGGTCCCAGCACAGTGACAAGGGCACGTCCTCAGTTGGTGGGCAGGTGGGACAGCAGGGAAAGGGAAAGCCACAATGACCACAACTCACCAGGCCCCACCAGAGTGCATCTGCGTAGGTGTCAAAGTGGTCGTTCTCCCCCTTCTCTGCCAAGTACACCAGGAACGAGGCCAGGATGAGACAGAGGAAGCCGATGTACCAGGCGGTGACCAGCTCCTGAGAGGTAGAAGGTACCACCATCATCACCACCATCACATCACCATCACTACCATCATCACCACCACCACCACCACCATCACCACCATCACCACCACCACCACCACCATCACCACCGCCGCCATCACCGCCACCACCGCCACCGCCGCCACCACCGCCGCCGCCACCATCACCGCCGCCACCACCGCCACCGCCATCACCATCACCACCACCACCATCACCACCATCACCACCATCACCACTACCACCACCACCACCACTACCACCACCACCACCACTACCATCACCACCACCACCACCACCACCATCACCACCACCATCGCCACCACCGCCATCACCGCCACCACCGCCGCCGCCGCCACCACCGCCACCGCCACCACCATCACCACCGCCACCGCCGCCGCCGCCACCACCGCCACCGCCATCACCATCACCACCACCACCACCACCATCACCACCACCATCACCACCACCACCGCCACCACCACCGCCGCCACCACCGCCGCCGCCATCACCACCACCATCACCACCACCACCACCATCACCACTACCACCACCACCACCACCACCATCACCACCACCACCACCATCGCCACCACCGCCACCGCCACCACCATCACCACCGCCACCACCATCACCACCATCACCACCGCCACCACCACCACCATCACCACCACCACCACCATCACTATCACCACTGCCACCACCACCACCACCACCACCACCGCCATCCCCACCTCCGCCATCACCATCACCACCATCACTATCACCACCACCATCACCACCACCACCACCACCGCCACCACCACCATCACTGCCACCACCACCAGCACCACCACCACCATCACCATCACCATCACCACCGCCATCACCACCACCACCACCACCGCCACCACCACCACTGCCACCACCACCACCACCGCCATCACTGCCATCACCACCTCCACCACCATCACCACCGCCACCACCACCACCACCGCCATCACCACCGCCACCATCACCACCACCACCACCATCACCACCACCACCATCACCATCATCATCACCACCACCATCACCATCATCATCACCACCACCACCATCACCACCATCACCACCACCACCACCATCACCACCACTACCATCCCCACCCGCCACCTGCCTCCAGGAGCACTGCAGCCTCGCCAGCCATCCCACTTTGGGCTCTGTCTCCAGGGATATGGGGGCTGGACCCTTCTGAGGCCAGTAGAGGCTCCACGCCAGAGTTGGTGGCAGGGCTGGCACAGGGGAACCTGCAGGGGCCACTGGCTTCACCATCTTAGCTACAGCAGCCCCTTCCCCTGTGCTTCCTGGCCTGGGCAACAGCGGCTCGCATGGCCGGCCCACCACTTCCTCCAGGGTCAGCAGCGTCTATCCTGCGGCCAGCAGGGCTGGAGAATCTTGGGACTGTTGAGACCCTCCCCCAATCTCCCTGAGCCTCCAGGCACAGATGTGAAAAAGGTGAAAACTGCAGTCAGCATTCAACCCCCACAGCATCCAGGGAAGGAAGGGGGCCACTGGGGGCTGACCCCTGCCTGTTCTGCAGCCAAAACCACCACCCTGGCAGGGCTCAAGAGGGAAGAAAATGGGGAAGGGCCGTTTGAGCAAATGAGCCCACCCGTGAGCAGGGTGGACAGACAGACAGCACGGTCTGGCAGGAGGGGGTCCCGTGAGCAGGGTGGACAGACAGACAGCACGGTCTGGCAGGATGGGGTCTCGGTCACTGGGGGGCCTGGGGCCCCTGGAACTCAGCATGTGTGCCTACAGCCACCCCGTGGGTTCCCCGGCCAGCAGCCGCCACAAGCCGCAGCTTAAACAACCACCAGGCAGGTGACTAGTGCGATATATTGATCCAGGCACTAAAAACCCAGGAAAGACGACGCCCAGCCACAGAGCCAAGGGTTCGCGGCAGGAAGGTGGGGGTGGCAGGGGCCGAAACGGCCTGGCCTGGCCTTTCGAAAAAGCAGCTTTCTGGAGACAGACGACAAAGATGGACCAAGCCATGGGAAGAAGCAGAGAAGAAAGGGGAGGGAGGCTCGTTCACACCTGATGGGCTCCAGCCAGAGCCACCACTGACCTCCATCCCTCCAGCCAGGGCTCCCGGAGCAAACCCCAGGCAGTGGTGGGGCCCAGTCTGGGCCAGGACCCTTGCTGGCTGGGGGCGCCCATCGCCAGCCTCGGCGCCATGACTCACCTTGCTGTGGGCATAGACCACAGAGCCCAGTAGCTTCCAGGTGCCTCCCCGCCGGTCCATGCGGATCATCCGTAGAATCTGCAGGAAGCGCAGGCTCCGCAGCGCGGATGTGGCAAAGACATTGCCCTGGGAGCCGGCGGCCAGCACCGCAATGGAGGCGATGAGCACCATGATGTCTACAAAGCGGGCATAGACTGGTGAGCTGGTGGGCCGCCCCCTGCACCCACGTGGAGAAACCCCCACCCCAGGTTCCAGGAGGCTGTGCAGAGGGGCGGGAAGGTGTATGCCCAGCACCTGGTGTGGGCTCTGTCGGGACCCAGGAAGGACATGACTATCATCCACCTGCCTGCAGGGCCCGGGACGGGCAGCCCGGCACAACATCCCTCTTCCTGACATTTAGGCCGGGTTAACCACAGGCTCTGACTCCAAGTCAGCAGGTGAGACGAAACTTCCAGAAGGAGCCAGTCCTGCCCAGCCTCTCTGGCCCACGTAGACCTAGCCCCAGCTCCCCCCAGTGCTGAGTCTGTCCCTGGGTCCCTGGCCCCGATTCCAGCAATGCCGCCCCCACCAGGCCTCACCAATCACACAGAACGGCTTCCGGGCAAACTTGAGCCGTCCCCTCCAGCCACGGTACCGGCAGCAGCAGCCTGCGGCCCAGATCCGCACGAAGTACTCCACGCCAAACACCACGATAGTCACGATTTCCTGCAGGGGAGGAAAGCTGAGGCCACCTCGAGACACGGGGGAGGCCCTGGGGGCCCAGCCTGGCCCCCCACAGGGGCAGTTCTGGCCCAAGGACCAAGCCGCAGGACAGGAGGCCCCCAAAGGAAACTGCAAGCTTGGACTGACCCACACAGGGCCCCCATCCCTCCCTAGCCTCTGGGCAGCAAGGTTTAGGCCCTCTGGAGACCGTGCATCCGGGAACACAGCTGAGCACAAACACCATGGGGCCACCCTCCCCACCTCCCTGTCTGCGCTGGGGGCTCTATCTGAGCTAGGGGACCCTGTCTGAACGGGGGGGCCTGTCTGAGCTGGGGGGCCCTGTCTGAGCTGGGGCACCCTGTCTGAACGGGGGAGGGCCTGTCTGAGCTGGGGGGCCCTGTCTGAGCTGGGGGGCCCTGTCTGAGCTGGGGGGCCCTGTCTGAGCTGGGGAGCCTGTCTGAGCTGGGGGGCCCTGTCTGAACAGGGGGGGCCTGTCTGAGCTGGGGGGCCTGTCTGAGCTGTGTGGGCCCTGTCTGAGCTGGGGGGCCCTGTCTGCACTGGGGGGCCCTGTCTGAGCTGGGGGCCCTGTCTGAGCTGGGGGGCCCTGTCTGAGCTGGGGGGCCTGTCTGAGCTGGGGGGCCTGTCTGAGCTGTGTGGGCCCTGTCTGAGCTGGGGGGCCTGTCTGAGCTGGGGGGCCTGTCTGAACTGAGGGGCCCTGTCTGAACTGGGGGACCCTGTCTGAGCCAGTGGGGGGCCTGCCCTGTCTGAGTTGGGGGGTGCACAGCAGGGCTGAGCTGAGGGAAGGCCCCAGGTAACTACAAAGGGGGTCACAGCCTCCACCCAGACTTTGGGCAGCCCCAGGACAGAGGGGCAGGGCGGGCAGTAGAGGGGGGTGCATTCGGATGGGGATCAGTCTCCTCGAGGGCCCCCTACCCCATTACCAACAGCGACACAGGAACTGCACTCCCGTTGCCATGGTGCCCACCCTGCCCTGGCACAGGGTTGCTGCAAGCGTCACAGCCCCCACCCCGACGCCCACGTCTGCCGTCTGCTGGGGACACCCCACAGCTCTGGCTCCAGAGATAGATAACGTGGGGAGGGAAAGGGAGGGAAGGAGGGAGAGTGGACCTGCCCAGGGTGGGGTGATGGAGGCGGGGCTGTCAGCCACTGTGAGGTCACCATGAGGGGTGAGGTGAGGGCTGAGTTACAGCCAGGGTGGGGCTGGGGCACAGCCAGGGCTGTGGGGCTGGGGGCAGGTGGGAGCTGACAGAGCACAAAGACATGGCCGGAGCTGGGGCTGCGGGGGCTGGGACGGGGCTGGAGGCAGCAGGGCAGGGGAGAGGCATCGGTGGTGGGGGTGGGGGAGGCCTTCACAGGAAGCCAGGGTTGGGGGCATCAGAGGCCCTATAGTAACAGGAATGAGGGACAGATGCCCAGCGGCTCTGGCTCCTTCCTGGGCCCCTCCAGCCCCCACCCTCTCGCGGGGCTCACCAGGATGTAGAGGGCCCCCTCCGAGCTCTTCTCATACTCCTTGATGGTGGAAAACACAGACAGCACGAGGCAGGAGAACACCAGGAGGAACCTGGGGGCAGGGAGCGCGTGCTCAGCCAGGCCACAGCAGGGCACCAGCATGGCTGCGTCTCCAGAACGCAGGACCCCACTCCCCACCCGCCCCACCAGAGTCCACTCGGGCCGGAGGGCACCCCCACAGCCACCTCCCGGGACCCCAAACTCCACAGTGGCACCGTGCGCAGCTGCCCCCTCCAGGATGCACCCCCTCTCCACTCTGGCCCTGCCCCCTCTGTCGGGTTTCAGCCTGGTAGCCTCATCCTTCGGCAACGTCTCCAAAACTCTGAGTCAAATGGGACCAGCAAGGCCCACCCATCGACGGCTGCAAACACAGGAACAAGCAAAACCCCTGGGGCAGAAGGCACCGGATCAACCTTCCCTGCTCCTCGCTCTCAGCCACCTCCTCCAGACCCCAACGCAGAGGGCTTCTCTGCCAGTTAAATCCGAAGCCAAGCAACAAGAGCTCCTGGGATCACCACCTTTCCAGCCTCGTCCTGGCTGCCAGGAGGCTCAGTGTCTCCTTCCTCCTGGGTTGCAGGTGCCTCCTCCCACCAGTGACTTCCACCGTGATTGCTCTTCCCATCCACGTCCCACGCGATTACCTCACTCACTGATCCTTCTTCAACTTCCCCTCAGACGCTCAAGTTCATGCCCCACCAAAATTCCCCCAAATGCATGTTTTTTGTTTGTTTTGTTTTGTTTTGAGATAGAGCTTCACTTGTCACGCAGGCTGGAGTGAAATGGCGCGATCTCGGCTCACTGCGAGCTCCGCCTCCCAGGTTCAAGCGATTCTCCTGCCTCAGCCTCCAGGGGAGCTGGGATTACAGGCATGTGCCACCAAACCAGGCTAATTTTTGTATTTTTTAGTGGAGATGGGGTTTCATCATATTGGCCGGGCTGGTCTCGAACGCCTGGGCTCAAGTAATCCTCCCGCCTCGGCCCCCCAAAGGGCTGGGATTACAGGCGTGAGCCACCATGCTTGGCCCAAATGCATGACTTCTCCTCAGCCCTGCATCCTCCTCTGATACAAGCGGCTCTGCTACGCTTGCTCCCTTGCCCACCCCAGAAAGCTGCAGACGGGAGGAGCCCGCCACCCCCCAAGACCCTGCCGCGGGAACCCGGCTTGTGGCCACCCACGTAGAAGAGACACAGCTGATCTCCCAGCTCTTCCTGGGAGCAAAGCTGTGCCACCCAGAGCCTCAAGCTGCCGCTGTGGCAGGAAAGCCAGCTCCGGCGTGCTGAAGTCGCCGGACACACACCAGAGAGAAACCCACTTCGCGGGAAGCAAATGCTTTGTCCCGTTTACATTTTTCGCAGGTGTTCTGGGATGTGAAGGGGACGTGTCCAACATCCAAGTCCTTGGTCACAGCCATAAAGGAGGCGGCGCGTGGTCCCCTCCACCGTGTTGCTGCCTCTCGTTCCAACCGTGCTCAGAATCAGGAGCGGCGGGGACAGAGCCACAGAGCAGCCGCTTCCCCGTGTCCGCGCCCTGTGCTGTCTTCACACTCGCCATCACCTTGCACACCCGGCGGCACCGCACGGCTGCCACGGAGCCGGCGGGGCCCTCCTGTGTCTCAAACCCGAGCCCTTCCCCGGCGCCCACATCCAGGTAGGAGAGTCCCCACACTCAGGATCTCCTGCCCTCTGTCCCCGAAGCAGTGCTGCAGTCCAGCCTGGGTTCTGGGGCACTGTCCCGGCTCCCCTCTCCCCATTCCCACAGAGGAAATAGTCCTTGGATGCCCGGACCTGCAGGGCTGAGACGCTGGGCCGGGTTGCTGGGCGGGGGCACCGGGCCAAGACGCTGGGCCGGGACGCTGGGCAGGGGTGCTGGGCGGGGGCGCTGGACCGAGACGCTGGGCCGGGGCGCCCAGCACACACGCCGGACAAGCGTGGCCACAGAGGCCCAGCAGAGGTCACAGGCCCAACACACACGCCGGACGAGCACGGCCCCTTCCAGAGGTCACAGGCCCAGCACACATGCCAGATGAGCGCAGCCGCAGAGGTCACAGGCCCAGCACACATGCGGGATGAGCACGGCCGCAGAGGCCCAGCAAGACCACCACACATGGGGTCAGGGCTGGATCTCCCTCGCCAGGTGGCTTCAGGCTTCCAGGAATAAGGCAGCACTGATGCTGGGCCCCGCTCCCGGGACCCGGGGCTACCAGAGGTGTGGGAGGCCATGGGTGCCCCAGGCAAGGGTCAGGACTCCCTGAGGCAGCACTGGGCGCTGCAGTCACCCCTGGGGGCAGAGACTGAGAAGACGGCTGGGGAGGTGGGGGAAGCCAGGGGATCCCTAGCCCAGAGGTCACACAGGGTCATGGTGGGGTCAGGTGGGGTCAAGGTTGAACAAGAGCGGCAGGTGCCGGCCGGGCGCGGTGGCTCAAGCCTGTAATCCCAGCACTTTGGGAGGCCGAGACGGGCGGATCGCGAGGTCAGGAGATCGAGACCATCCTGGCTAACACGGTGAAACCCCGTCTCTACTAAAAAATACGAAAAACTAGCCGGGCGAGGTGGCGGCGCCTGTAGTCCCAGCTACTCGGGAGGCTGAGGCAGGAGAATGGCGTGAACCCGGGAGGCGGAGCTTGCAGTGAGCTGAGATCCGGCCACCGCACTCCAGCCTGGGCGACAGAGCGAGACTCCATCTCAAAAAAAAAAAAAAGAGTGGCGGGTGCCCAGGTGAGAGCTGGCAGAGCAGCGTCTGTGGAGCCAGGGCTGTGGGGACTCGGAAGCAGGGGAGGGCAGGCCTGTGCACAGAGCCCTTGGCATAACTAACTCCATCTTAGAAAAAGACTCCATTTTGTCTCGCAGGGCACTCTACCGAGAAGGAAAAGATGTTCTGTTTAAGAACCAAAAAGCAAAAAAACAAGAAAAACTGGCCGGGCATGGCGGCTCACGTCTGTAATCCCAGCACTTTGGGAGGAGGCCGAGGTGGGCAGATCACTTGAGGTCAGGAGTTCAAGACCAGCCTGGCCAATATGGTGAAATTCCATCTCTACTAAAAATACAAAAATTAGCCAGGCGTGGTGGCGCGTGCCTGTAATCCCAGCTACTCGGGAGGCAGAAGAATCGCTTGAACCCAGGAGGTAGAGGCTGCAGTGAGCCAAGACCACGCCACTGCACTCCAGCCTGGGTGATAGAGCAAGACTCTGTCTCAAAAAAAAAAAAAAGAAACAAATAAAAAAAATAGAGCCCAAGTCCAACCAGATAAGGACACACAAGCCCGTCCGCCGTGCTCAGTTCTCCCTGGAGGCCTCTGTCTTCACTGCCATCTCACAGCTGCCTGCAGCAGCCCAGGCCAGGCCTCTGGGCTGGTATTAACCCTCTGTCCTGTGTCTTTCTCCTCATGATGTTAAACCTGACTTTGGGTGGAACGTGGAACCTGACCGGGTGAGCACACGGCAGTGTATGGCCTGCAGCACTGACCGGCGTGGAGTGGCCGTGACCGCAGTGTGACCCAGAAGCTCTAGGGAGAACCTGCCTGCTTGGGAACTCCACGTAGCTCGTGGCGTCTGTGATTGAAACAGCATCAGTGAAAGTCTGACCTTGTGGAAAGACACAAACCTGAGTGGACCTCGTGTCAAGCCCGTCCTGTGTGCAAAGTGCCTCCAGGACCCGGGGCCTTGGGCAAGCTCCATTCAGCCAAGAGCAAGAGGGTGACCGAGCCACTCCAGGTTCAATTCACGGCGGACACCCCCATGGCTTCCCTCTGCCCGGACCCAGTCATCTCCCCCATGAACACCCCCTGGATGTGGGGAGGCCGGCATGGCCCCCTGTAGCCCCCCTCCAGCTCGCTGGAGACCCCCACATCCAGGCAGCCTGAGTCCTCCAGCCTGGGCAGGCACAGTCCCCGTAGGTCTGCCTTCCGACTCGCCAGCAGCGGCCTCTGCTGCGCCGCCGGGAACGTTGTCCAGGGCAGGGAAGGCGGGGCACAGGGTGGTGCTCCCGAGACCTGCCGCGGGAAGGACCACGGCCGTGTTTCAGAAGCACCCAGGACCATGCGGTCTGAAGCAGAGGTGGAGGTTTCGGGCACAGGCAGCCCGGCCGAGGTCAGCCCCACCACCTGCCCATCCCAGCACCAGAGCCAATCGAGGCCGGGCACTCCTGAGCCACCGGCGACAGTGGTAGAAACCGTGCCTTTGAAGGCTCTGGCCACCGAGCACCCACACCAGAGATGGAGGTGCAGGGGCCAAAGCCACATTTTAAAGCATCTCATGTGAAAACTGTCAGCATCTCTAGCGTGAGCCCCAGTTCACATTCCACCCACACCCTCGCCGAGGACGTCCCAGCCCCGTGCCATTGAGAAGCAATAATCCAGCGCCCGCCTCTGAGCCGAGGGCTTCGTAAAGTGCAGCTGCAGCTTCACTGCGACCCTTAAAAAGCCAGTGATGGTCAGTGCCCACAGCCCCCACACGGCCGCCAGCGTCTACAGCACTCGGACCAGGCCAGGCGGGGCCAGCGGCTGCCTGACCTCTGCCTTCCCCCGATCGCCAGCCTCCCCTCCCTCCTTGTCCCCCTTGCGACCATGTATCGAGGGGACACCACAGCAGGGGTGGGCCCGTGAGGCCGGCCACCTCCGTGTCTCCAGGCTCAGCATCCACTGACCATCCTGCGGGATCCACAGACCGGGGCTGGCATCGCAGCTCCAGCAGCTCAGGTCCCTGACCGTCCGTCCTGCGGATCCACAGATGACAGGGGCTGTGTCTCCGAGCTCAGCGTCCGCTGACCATCCGTCCTGCGGGATCCACAGATGACAGGGCCTGTGTCTCCGAGCTCAGCGTCCACTGACCGTCCGTCCTGTGGATCCACGATGCAGGGCTGGTCCCGAGCTCAGCGCCTGATCATCATCCTGGGATCCACAGACGCAGGGCTGTCTCTGGCCAGTCCGCTGACATCCGTCCTGTGGATCCCAGATGACAGGGGCTGTCTCCGAGCCAGCGTCCCTGACCGCCTCCTGCGGGATCCGATGACGGGCTGTGTCGGGCTCCGCTGCTCACTGTCCTGTGGATCCACGCG